CTTGCACACTCTTGGCATCATTCATGTCCAAGGAAGCCAGGAAGCGCTGCCAGCACAAATCGCCATAGCCTTCCTCCAACTCCCTATTACTGGTAGTACTAGCAGCACTCCTGGTAGCACTGGCAAAGACACTGCTCACATTGGTGCCCTTCTTGACTTGATGGTTACTACTACCAGCAGTAGCCATGATGCTACCCACAACCTTATCAGCCAGTTCTGTGGGGACATAGTCAGATAGAAACCAACCAATCAAGTACGGCAAGAGGATCCACTTGACCACAAACCGAAACACAGAACCGCTCGTAGAGGGAGACGTAGACGTAGACGTAGAGGGAGAGCTCATGGTTGCTTCTTCAATACTACTTTTATAACTATGGGTATCTTTGGTAAAGAAGTTTGGTTGTTGCAAGAAGAAGCCAACGGCCAAGATTTGGCTGCGGTTCGCGTTTTGGACAAGATCGCTCCACGACCAATAACAATAGTTTTATTTTATTATGTTGTTGGATAAAAGATTGGTTCTGGGGGAAAAGCATTAGAACATAAAGAATAGGACTATGTCTTTTAAAGAACTTTTACACATGATATTAATTCTATTTATTCAGACAATGTCTTGGCGGTATTGACAGCTGACAGAACCATAAGACTTGTGTCTGATGTTTCAGGGGGATCGAGCAATTAAATACATTATAAACAATAAGCTTCTACCCCATCCCTGTGATTCATGAGACAGCTGATTGGAATTCGAAAAAGACACTAAGTGGCTGTCCTATAAGTCTAGCACAGGGTCTTCTAGTGCTAACTGAATGAACTCTGCTTCCCCAAAAGATACCTTACTTGCATTAGTTCCAATTGCCGCTGTTTGTTTGTGCCAAGTGCGGATAGCCTTGCGAGTACAGTCGTACAGAGTATGTACTTGTAGGCGCCGGTAGCGGTGCCGGTACGGTAGCTAGTACCGTACCGTAGTACTTGTAGTGTTGGCTGGAAAGACCACGGATTGATTACTTCGTTCATTCAGGTATGGCAAAACGTACCAATACAACACGGATACCCTAGCTAGCTACCTGTAGACTAGCTACCAGGTATGATACCGGTATGGTGGCTAGCCAGAGATGAGCAAATACAATGTCCTGTATTTTTTTTTAAATCCCCGTCCTGCAATTGGGCTTCCCCAACCAAGACATTCCTGGTACATGTACGTTACAGAGTACGCCAGCAACGAAATAGAGCAGCTTCGACGGTTTAGTTCTTCTTAACCCGCACCCCAATGGAGACAGAAAGGACAGCGCGGCGCTGCGCAGCGCAGTATCTCGACCCCGCCTTGTAGGATGTACTAGCTACTATTAATAGTAGTAGGATCCATTGGCATTTGCAACCTAACAACCAACAACGACATTGTAGCAACTGATTGCTAAATAGCTACAGTATCAGTACTAGTAGTACCATGTCGATGAACGTGTTTCGTCTGTGTGGAGACATGTGCCATGTCTTCTCCATCCTTGTCTTGCTTCTGAGGCTAAGGGTGGCCAAAAACGCTCAGGGTAAGTCTTAGGTATAGTATACCATTTGCTACCGTTGTTCTAGCTAGTCGTGCATGGTCTGACCAATGATCGTCTTATCTTATCTTACTTTTTAGGAATATCGGTTCGAACACACGAGCTGTTCTTGCTAGTGTTTGTGACTCGGTATTCAGATCTGTTGTTCCACTTTTACTCGGTGTACAACTCGGTGATGAAGGTGCTCTACATTCTCTCGACTGCTTCCATCGTGTACACTATTCGATTCCAAGAACCCATCAAGTCCACGTACGATCAATCGCAAGATACTTTTATGCATTGGAAATTTGCCGTTGCTCCCTGCGCATTGGTGGCACTCATCACCCAGCTCATCACGGACGGGACCACCCCACATCTCTTCAAGATGCTATGGACATTCTCCATATACCTGGAAGCCATTGCCATTGTACCACAACTCATTGTCCTGCAACGATACGGAGAAGTGGAAAACCTTACTGGAAACTACATCTTCTTCATGGGTTCATACAGGGCCCTCTATATTCTGAACTGGATTTACAGAGCCTACACCGAAAAGGGGTACCATCACCATTGGGTAGCATACATTGCTGGCGTACTACAGACACTGCTCTACGTCGATTTCTTTTACTATTACTTTGAAAGGTACGTGCCTTGCCTTGTGCATTGCTGCAAAAAGACAACATGACAAAGATCAATGTACAAACTAGCTCGCTGTGCTCACTTCCACGTCTCTTTCGCCTTTTTTCTCATTCTATCCTCCCATTTATTACCATCATACAGCAAGAAAAAGGGTGGGAAAATGCGGCTGCCTACAGCTAACTAGCAGTCATGTGACTTGACAGTACATTTTTCGCCGTTGTGTCGCTTTCTCGACAACGAGGATGCATGCTTTGATTCGATTCATTCTAGCCGACGAAACCACACGCTACGTTTATTTTACACCTAGCTAGACTACTAGTAGTACACACTACGTATCGGGCTAGCTAGCAGAATACCGGCATTACATGTATGTATAGTCCACAACTATGTACCTGTAGCATCTGGAAGAAGCAGATATATAGTACAGGCAAGCACATCCAGTCCACTCCCATGGCCAGTAACCGTGCACAAACCACGCGACACAACGTACATACACGACCAAGTACCGTAGCAAGAGCCAAAGGATAGAGGCAGCACGGGTGGCGGAGCGAGATGAAGAGAATCGGTCCTCGTCTGTGCCAATGCTCTAATATTATGGCGGTCATGTGCTCTCGCAGACGAAATGTCCCATTGACGAGAGAAGGAAGATCCCTGATTGCTGCATACTTCGTGGCCCTTCACTAAATGTCCCAACCAATTCTTTCTGCCACGTAGTCCAATTTGCCACCGCACTAGCTAGATGTGGAGACAAGAAAGCTGAGGATCAGCCCAATATTGGATCTCGTGGATACTCTAGCTGGTATTTTAGTAGTTGCATTCCGTGTCTCACTGATCCCTTAGTGCAATCGACGGCCGGAAGACCCTCTATGCTTATCGGCAATCAGGACATCATAGAGTGGTGGCTGCTACTTTTTATCAGTAGCAACAAGGCCAAACGAAGCAATCCCAGCCGTCTGCCACCAATACCATGGACTTTCCGTTCAAGCAGGAGACAACGTTCCAGCCGATACAGTACCTAACGTGAAACGATAACGAGCACATCGCGATGCACGGACGCAATGGCAAACCATGCGCCACACCGGGAGACCTTGCTTCAAAAGAGGTGCATGGACTCATGGACCCAGCAATCGACAACGAATACATTCGCTGACCAAGCCAATGGCCAAATACTAGCTAGCAATTACAACAAGCTACCGTACGGTATGAGGTAGCGTACACCGTACAAGTACCGGTATCGGCTGTGCGGCCAAGGTCGTTCATGAGCACTCCGAGGCTCCTAGCTAGGAGTACCGGTGTGCCACTAATCCGCGAGTAAATTCCTTCCCTTGTGTCGTAGAGAAAACTTGAAAACTCTGGTAGTCATGGATTTGGTGGGGTATGAAGATTTAAGCATACCGGTAGCATGATTGAGGTTGGTACCGGTACCATAAACTGTTTGCCCATCACTTTTTCGCTGCCTTTTTCGACTTGCAGTGGCTGCTTTGCATGAGGCAAGCGTGTGATCGTAGCTATACCGACACCCTTACCTTTCCCGGTATCAGGGAATGCTTCAATCATTGCGAGTGCGTCGTTGACCAGTCCCGGTATCCGTCTCATAAAACGAAACCAAACTGACTGCCTACAACGAACTGAACAGAAAACTATTTGGATCATTGCGTGACAAGGTCTTGTTTCCTGGGTTGGAATGTTAGCTTGATTTCTGTCAGGACTACATCAAGCTCGAGGACAAATTCCGATCCAGGATTCGAAGCGTGGTTGAGAACCTTTGGGAACCTTTGATGAGTTGTCGGGGGGGTTGGTTTCGATTCATAGGCCAACGGTCGGACCGTGTCCTGGCCTGCACTGATACAAGCAGCAGCCATGGCATCTAGCTACCCGTAGCTGGCACTCGATCACAGGCCTGCCTGTTTCAATTTTTAAAGCGTATACTCTGGTAGCTACGTGAACCGTAGTTCCCCAGATGCCGCCGAGTTCACTTCTCTTGCCCTCTAAAGACCTGTTCCGTTGGTTGTGTTGAGTCGTCGTACATGGCAAGTGGCTCCCTCGAACGCTTGAGAATAATATTGTCTTGAACATCATTCGAGGCTGGTCCAAATTTAAGTGATTGACACTCCATGGCTTCTAGCAGTTCGTGTGATGCCTCCAAAAGCTCCAAATACTTTTTAAAATTTCCTACTATACCCTATAGCTGTTGCTCTACTATACTACCAGGCATCACCACACACACACATGTCTCTATTATTGAATTGGCGTCTCTGTCTCTTCGTCATCAGTAGTTGTACTACTGGACAACATTTTGTGTAGAGCCGTGACGACATCCCATGCGACGAGATCGGGATATCCACCCCGATTTCCCATACATCGATGTCCGTTGGCAAATCGAAAACTGGTGACATTGGTGACACAGGTCCCTACCACGTGTCGAGTATCGGTCGCACACTCGTGCAAAGGTGGGAATCGTGTATTGTAGAGCGCGGTTTGTCCCTGGATTGTTTCGACCTCTTTAATGTATCGTCGGCCGTGAATGTACTTGATATTATTGCGTTGTTTGGTTTTCTGCAATTGATTCATTTCTTCTTTTGTTTGTAGGTAATCGGAGACCCCGTACTTGCTAAACATGCTTACGTAAATGAGATTTCCCTTGTATTTTTTTGCGACTTGCTGTACCGTGGGTCCTGGAATGTGTTGAAAATCCATGGGTATGTTTGGAAACTGTTTTTGATAGTCCATCATCATTTTGTAGAAACTGGTGCCTGTGGACTCTGAGAAGGTATTGAACTTTCCCATGACAATGGCATCTAGGCTGGCTAGTGGTCGCTTGAGAATGGTTTCTTCCAGAGTTTTGTCCCAGTCATGTGAGTATACAAAGGGGCAGTTGACAGCGACATAAATGATGGTATTGTGCTTCATTTCGATTTGCAAGACTCCATTGATTGGATGTTGTGGCATGGCATAGAGGGATGTGACTTTGGTAATCTGTTGCTTGTGCTGACAGAGCAAAGCAGTGGCGAGTTGTCGGGTATGTGAATTACCCATGATCAAAACAGCGCGTTGTTTTTTACTTTTTTCTGGAGTATTTTTTGGATTGGGCAGAATGGTGTTTCGTTTTCCCCACATGAATCCTTCGGCTGCCTTTTCTAAAATGACATGCTCCAATAAATCGGCAAATCGATTGTACAGATTTCCCCCACATTGGTAAGTCATGTCCAATGCCAGGCCTCGCATTTGTACAGTCTCTTTACCCAGCTGTGGAGTGGGGGTGATGCGGCACAGCCGGAAATCGTTAATGTTCAACGTGGCTGGGTCCAATATTTTTGGGGGTTTGGTTTTCTGGGCTTCCATCTGATTGTCAATTTCAGTGGCTTCTTCATCATCTTCAACTTGAAAGGCTTGATCAGGTGGAAATTCTTCGTCTTCATTCAAGTCATTTTTCATGTCATTGCCATTTTTTTGTTTCAAGCTGTGATCATGAATGGTGCCTTGAGCTGCCTTGATTTGCACAGTGGCAACATTTTTGGCTCCTCTGTCTTTCATTTGTTCTAGTTCTTTCTGCATGCTCAGTCCAGCAAACACAAGCACCACCATGCCCACCAGCAATACAGCAGTCTTGATAGATATAGAGCAGACCATCTTCTTATCTTGTTTCTTGCCTTTGAGTAGTTTTAATAGAGTGCTTGTTAGCAACAGCAATAGATAATAGAGTACTAGCAGTGCTTTAATATGCTTGCTTGCTTGGGTATATACCCGTCTAGTTTCTATGAAATAAAATAAATGACCATGCTGCATGCCCAAGTTGTGTGCTACCGTTTACCGGTACAGTCGTACCGGTAAGATCGATCATAGAAACAAAAGATTCAAGAGCCTGGTTACCATGTTCGTCTGTGCGTCGTCCATCATCATTTGTCTTCTTGGCACGGGAGGGGCAAAGTGGCGACCCATACTTAGGCGAGACAGTATTCGTTGTTCTAAGTAACCCTAATTTAGTTCCCGCCGACTTGTCGCTCTTGCCTAAGTATCATCTCGACCTGCCACCGCCAACTTTCGAAGATACTTTCTCACACAACTAACCGAGACAACCCATCTGCTACGGGATGATTAGGTAGACGCACTCACATGCATGCCATCCCATACCATACCTATCAGATCATAGATAGGTGCATGTCATGGCAAAAATCAAATTGCATTGAACTTACTAACACTCATAACCAAGGCCAAGCAAAGATGGTGTCACGAGGGAACAATGGCGCGACCAGCCTGAGTACGGTTCGTACGTATCCGACGACTACGAGCACGATTACCGCTACGAGCACGAGCCACAAGAAGGAAATTTCGTCGTTGTACAGCGAATCGTCTCGAGGTCCGGAATTGGATCTCATGGAAGCACAGCTTTCGGCTATTCTCGTCAACGAAGAGTTCTACCAAGTTCTGTACATTCCCTGCACTTCGTCCTCCGTGTCCAATGACAGTCGTCCTTTGGGAGAAGAATGGAGACGTAAGATTTGTCAATGGTCCTTTCGAGTCATTGACCACTTTAGACTCGATCGAGAAATCGTTAGCTTTGGACTCAACCTGTTCGACCGATTCTTGGTCACCAACTGTATCGCTAAGCAGCAACAGCAAGAGCAGCAACAATCACCAAAGAACAAACCACGAACACTCAAAAACGGTAATCTATGCACGTGCACATGTCCCTCTTGCGCACAGAGCATTGACAGTCGAACCTACCAACTCGCCGCCATGACGTCCCTTTACGTCGCCATCAAGCTGCATCCCGACAACAATGCCCTCACCGAAGACGGCATGCGCCGAAAACGGTACTTCAAACTAGAATCTTTCGTGGAACTGTCAAGAGGACAATTCGGGGCCGCCGATATCTGCCGCATGGAACAAGTCATTCTACAAACACTCAAATGGAGGGTCAATCCTCCCACTCCCATGGCCCTCGTCGCTTACCTACTCTCCCTCATGCCGCCCATTATCGACATTCCATCCGCGTCAAGACCCACATACGATCTCGTTTTGCACGTTCTTCAAGAACTATCGCGGTACATTACAGAGTTATCCGTCTGTCTGGGAAGCATTTGCTCCACATCGCCGGCATCACAGGTAGCCTACGCGGCCATTCTCGTATCCATGGACTTGCTTACACTCAAGGCACTGCCCATGAGGGCAAGGGATACCTTCCACGCCGCCGTTTCCATGACATCCTTGCAGAGCGGAGGAACTTTACTCATGCCCCACAAGCAAAAGATTCGCAAACTCAGTCATGTGCTTTCCAAGTCGCTCTTGCCGGAAATGTTGCTGGAAGAGTACGATCGCGAAAGTGCCAAGGATACTACTACTACTACTACTACTACTGCTAGTAGCAGCAGCAACAGCAAGACCAACCACAAGGGCTCGTCGACTGCCGCCACCAGTGCGAGTGGTGGATCCTCGTCCTCCAATTCGTCGTCCTGTCATCCCATTGTCATTGCTCGTGATTTTGGTCTGTTGAATCTCTCCAGGATAAACGGCAGCAGTAGCAGCAGCAGCAAGGGAAGCGACTCGTCCATCGAGTCGTCGTGTCAAGGCAGTCCAACCGCTGTCAGTCAGGGCTGTTACTAACCAACTAACTGCAATGTACCTCCTGTGCACGAGGCAGCCAGATTGGTGGCTGCTTGCAGGATCGAATGATCGTTACATGGGTGCATGATGCTATCTATTCTTTGTCGGTCGGGGTGCCTCCTCTTTTTGGACTCTTGACTCAACCTACCGTACCGTGCAAGCCTTGGCGATGATCCTACTACCAGTACTCAATGAACCCAAACGAATGCATGCATGCGCATGCATGGACCTAGACAGCCAGACTGACACAACAGTGGACGAATGAATGGCGACGGCGAGGAAGCCATTCTTTCAAGAAGCCGAACCTTTATATTTACTATTTGCATATTCTATTCATTCGTAATTGATTGACTTGCATAAATCAAACCTTGCATTTACTTGACGTGTCACTCGGTGGGCATCAATCTTTCCGTAGCTGTTTCGCTTGAACTCGCTCCTTATTAGCTGCAATACCTGGTGGCGTGGATGACAGGATTGTGTCCCATCCTCTACGGTATTACTGGTACTGTATTGGTACCGGTACGGTGCTACCAAAAGCCTATCATGCATGCTACCGATCTCCGTTGGTATGGTCTACACTGTACGCATAGCTACCATAGCGATCATCAGATTGTACCGGTATCATTCAGGAAAATGCTGATGGAAATTTCCACCGTGTGAGCTACATGGATGGTGAGAGGAGGATAACGGCCGAGTGTCACCCGGCTCTGGTTTTCTTTTCGAAGGAAAACCGTGGACCTTCACAAAAATAAATTTAACCCAACTGTTGTCATAAAAATCCCACGATGGCATCCTACCGCTTTGTTGTCTCTGTGGATGCTGGTGGTGGTCCTTGCGTGGACAAGATGAGGGCCGAGCTTCAGAAGGATACCGGTACTAGTACTACTAGTGGTGTTGGTAGTAGCACTGTACCAATAGGAGCAAGTGCCATGGTGTCAAGATCTCGAGGGTCGGAGGAGAAAGCAATGACGGCATCTGGTGGTTCTAGTGGCTCCACTAGTAGTGGTTCTAGTAGTTGTAATCCAATTTGTATTTCGGATGACAGCGACGACCAGAACTGGGACGACGGCCCTTTGGCAGCTCTGGTGGATCGTGCGACTGACACTCGTCATTCTGTGCGACTTACGGCGGAGCAATCTCGCGTGATGGTGCAAATGACGAAGATGCGCAGCACTTTGGAGACGCATGTTCAAGATGAACTCTGCAAGCGCAATTCCACTGGTGCGAGTAATAAGCGAAAGCGAGACTCACTCTTTCAATCCATCAATGCACTCAAGGGCACGGGGGACTACGACCACAGATTCATTGACTGCATGCACACCCTCAGAGAATACGGTAACGCCGCCGTGCATGCTCGCTACCACGCTTTGCCATCTTATGAACAATGCACCGTGGCAGTAGTGGATTATTTGGAGTATCAAAAACAACACTCTAGAAAGAAACGACGAAGAACTGCTGCCAGCTAGCTATCTCATGGGGAACTCTCAACACAGTTCAGGCACTTTGGTAGACTTTCTGGAGACTGTCTCTCTGTCTCTGGTTTGGAAAATGAAAGATGATTGGGGATGGAATCAAGTTGCTACAATCTATAACTTTTATCTAGTGTAGCCATATCTATTTCAATGGTACCCATGGCTGCAATGATCTTCTTTCATTCATCTCGCTCAGGGACACCCATTCTGACTGGATCACTTGAGACACACCAAGTGATCCTCACAGAAGCAGCACCCAAACAAGTCAATTCACCCCAGCCTCTAGAGCAGCTAGCTACGTAGGGGAGTACATTGTACTTGCCGCAGACAAGCCTCAACTTGCTCTCTACTAGTATCATCTTTTGATCCGCAGCAAGCCACACCAAAACCATGAACAGTTTGAACGAGGGTTGGGACGTCAGTTTCGTGACCTAATTAAGCAAGGCTAGCGTTGGGGATATTCGTCCACGACAGGCGCATTGGCGATGCGTCGCCTCCCATGGTGCACCATGGACGAGCTTTGCGCAGAATGAAATAAATGTGATGCGGCAGATGATCGAGTCAAGATCCTCGATCGACAACAGCGATGCAGCAGATGACTCTCGTTCTCTTGGTAATAGCAACGATACTTGCATTGGCCCATTCAGCCACGTTGAAAGTGACCACCGCAACTTCAGACGGCAGTACTCTCGTTCCCAGTCAATGGAACTATCGGGCCACATCTACCTGCTGCTGGCTTCCTGGGTGCTTTGTGGTCGATATTCTGCAGGATGGATGTCTCCTCTGTCGACCTTTCACCGAAACTTATGGTCCCCTCCAAGAAGAGAACACCTACACGTTTACACCCAACCGAGAAGATGGCCTCTTTCGCTGCTATTGCATGGCAGAGTATGATCCTTTCAGCTTTGTCGAATTAGTACGCCAAAATCCAGACGGACAACGTGCCTTTGGATTCTTCCGTGTGGTACCCGATGACACGGCCGGAACTACTGCTAACATATCGTGCACGAAACTAGATGACTTTCGTCTAGATTGCGAAGAAGAGGTACATCTGGACTGGGATGTCAAATCGGCAACCCTCTACGAAGTAACCGTCACTCTCTTCTTATGTGAGGGAGAAACCGCACCCTGCCCACCCCTGTGAACATGGCCTCAAGAAGGCTGCTAAGGAATTCAATCCTTTGAATTGCAAGCGGTGCAGGTAAACTACGAAATCGCATATACCTGCTGGGTGGACTTGCTGCCGCTTTGCTGCCTCCAAAGTTGCCCCTCCCAATTCTAAGGGTGATTTGCTGAATAGAGATTAGAGATACGGTGCGGAATGAGGACCGAAAGCAAATTCTTTGTTCCACTGCATGACTGCTAGCTAGTGGAGGCTTACAAGGTGCCGGCGGTACCGCCGTGCATGGTCAAACGCAAGCAAACGACGCACCTAGACTACTAGTAGCTAGCTATCCTCGATTACAAGGGGCGTCATCTTTTCCGCATCATCATCTCTAGCTGGCTAGGAAAAATGTGGTCCGGCACTGCCATCAAGCAAAGGAAAAAGCTTCCGTCCAAGCCTGGCGACCCTCTAGCGCACATTAGATCCGTTGGATTGACCGTTGCCACTCGGAAGCCATCGTTGAAAACCTCATCTCTGTTCTCCACACTCCCGTTTTGATTCGTCCTCGTCCGAAACCGAAGCAACAGCCAAGACAGCCGCCAATCCCATCTTGGTGGTGGTACGAGAGAGTCCTTGAGTCGACTCTCACAAATCAAGAACTGCATAATCTATCTGGCAACGCAAAATAAAACAGCAAGCAACCATGATGAGGACAGAGTCACGCCAACTTGTAAAAGAGATCAGTTTTCACAATGACCGCCGTGGCGCTTGTTCTTGGATCTTGAATTTGCTGTGGCTAGTGCTGGGTGGATGGCACATGTGGTTGACTTGGTTTTTGACGGGCATTGCTTTGTGTGCCACTATTGTGGGCATTCCCTGTGGCTGGCAGGCAATCAAGATTTCCATCTTTCTCTTGTTCCCATTTGGAAAGAGCATTACTTATACCCATGAAAATATTGAAGACGAAGCAGGGCGGTGCTGCTTTCGAAGCTGTAACTGCTTTCTCAATGTCGTTTGGGCAGTCACTGTGGGATGGATTCTCGCCCTCCAAGCATTACTGACGGGTGTCGCGCTATTTGTCACCATTATTGGCATCCCATTTGCCATTCCATGCTTCAAGCTGACCTACCTCTGCTTTTGTCCGTTTGGAGTTGACTTTACAGCAGAGGAAGTGCAAACAATCGTTGTCACCAGCTCAACCACAAACTATCATTCCATGCCTGTTTAGGTACAGCCATGTTGGAACTATGTAAACCTGTGGACTAACTGTAAAAGGCACTGGCTGAACCAAAGTTGAAGGTCAGAGTGTGGAATATTTGTTTGCTTGTTTTTTGATATAAGTTGTTAAGCCACCGTGATGTGTATAAAGCCTCCGAGTTCAAACTTTAGCTGCTGATGAGAATCTTCTTGCCGTGAGCTGGGACGTCCACCTGCTGGTCGTTTTAAAAGTTTGTTGCCAGAAGCAACACTACCGGTGCATGTAGCTAGCATAGACGACAATCATTTTGTGTAGCAGAACAATTGCAAGGTGTGGCAGTATCGCTTGCCTTATTGAGCAACGTCGTGTGTCTTTGTTGGCTCAGAAGAGGGAGGCGGGTGCAAGGCATGCATTGGGACCCTTCAAGCAATGTTTGCAAAATCTCTTAAAATAATTGAGTGGATCGATCGAGGTACGGTAGCGTTAGGGCTTTGAAGGGTAAACTGGAGACCACCCGACAAACGACGAAGCAAGACAAAAGTCAAACGACAAAGACGAGGATACCATCAATCGTCACCATGCTGTCGTCTTCGTATCTGTATGGCCTGCGATCTACTGCTACTGCTCGTACCGGTAGCATCGTCTCTGGTGTAGTTTCTCGTCGGCTTGGTGGCAAATCTAAATGTCAACGGTTTTCCAGCTCTTCCAAGGGAGGCACGGATGCTCTGTCCTTGCGACAACAAGCCCACGAAGCCCGCCAGCAACGGGCAAATCAGATGCATGCAGAGATTGCTAGCATTACGCAGAAACAAGAAAACAGACATGTCAAAGAATCAGGAAAGATACTCCGAAGGAAGGGATTTTCAGGTGTGTATGTACCTGTACCGGTAGTAGCTAGCACATTGAGTATCTATCTATCTAGCTAGTCTAGCTAGTCCTCCCGACTTCTAACCACGGCTGCATTTTTGCTTTTTCAAGAGTTCTTGGGCAAGCACAAGACAAACCTCAGCGTCGTTGTGGTCAGCTTTTTGACTGTAGTTCTCAGCGTAAAATTGGTAAGTTGGGCAGTTTTTGTGAGGGAAGTATAGCTGCTATGGGGACGGGATCTATTGTTATTCATCTTTTGTTTGGTGTACATGTTTTTTTGCAGGTCCAAGGCACACACAAATACGGGGATCTGGAAAAGGAAGTAGAATCCAGTCAGGCTCAGGCAGAAGAAATGCGACAGCTACTGAGATCCATTGGTAGTCAGGAGTATCTGGCACAACTTGCGAATCGGTGTGCTCGGGAACTGAACGACAGCTACTCCCAGCCAGGAAGAGGGTGGGGTTCTACCAAGACAACCCAATCCATGGACAACATGTCTTCCACAATCACCAATATTCTAGCCCAAGATATTGGAGCCAAGATTGGGGATGCTGCCTTGACGGAGGACCAGCAAAGTGCCAAGCACATTCAAGAATTGAACTCCCAACCCATCACGGGAGACGCCGCCATTGAGAAATTGAATGCCCTCCAGACACCACAACCTGTCACCAATACTCCTGATGATCAGCAGTGGGTCCAGGGAGACAAGAATTCCAAAAAGAAGAGTGTCTTTGTTATATGATATGGTTGGATGCATGGTTGCGAGACGGTGTCGTCTTTAGCCATGAGGACGTTGACCTGTGTGCTGTTGCCAGACGCAGCACTACACATAGCTAGCATAGGCCAGAGGCATTGACTGATTCTGGCACTTACCTACCGTAGTATAGCTCTGTGTTATTGAGAGCATCCGTCTTAGTCTACCTGCAGGGATGCCTGAGATTGTGGATTTGCATGGCACAATGCAGGTACCGACGGAGTGACCCTCAGTTCGCATGGCTGATCCCGGAGTTACAGAGAAAGCCGGCCATCTATCTATCTATCTATCTATGTACAGTATAGATTAGGAGGAGCTCTGCATGAGGCACCAATACGATAATCTGTCTCGTGTACATGAAGCTGGGCCCTGCTATAGTTCTGTTCTTACATAGTGCTACAATCTATCACTGCGCACAGATTCGTCGTTCTCCTCCTTTCCTTGTAATCATCGGGGCATCCAATGGATATCACAATTCCACTCCAACGGTATCTATCGTCATAGCTAACTTACCACTTTCCTTCTTTGGTTTCCTGACGCTCAAAGAAGCTTCCTAGCATGACTCCCAATTCACGTTGTTCCCCCGGGAGGAGATGAATTCCAGGACGTCCGTGCGCATAGCGAAGGTTGCAAAGGACCGCGACATCGCCCGCTTGCCAGGGCAAGGGAATGCCAAACATGTCGTAGGCATCCGTCCATGCCTGCTTTTCCTCTAGCGTAAAGGGCGTATCATCTCCAAAGTACATTTCCAATGGGCGCAATTCTTGAGGGACGTCCTTGATTCCCGGCCACGAGTCGAACCATTCTCCATCATCGGCAATGCTGGTGGCCATAATGTTGCGGTCCAAACCAGGCACATACTCAAAGGCGGACTTGTAGTAACGAGTCTGCATCATGTGACCACCACCCACTTGAGGGACCCATTCCACGAGGAGTCCTTGTTTGTGGGCCGCCGCTTCGGCTTCCTCCGGATCATTGGTCATCCAAGATTGCTGCCAGTGATTGTAAACAGTAAGCGAGGGATTGTCATGGTCCAACGCACCGATATCTCGTTCGCTGGTAGCGTCGGTCATGCGACGTACAAAGCACAATCCCTTTTCCTTGAGCTTTTGTCCCAAGGGAGTGGTCATGATGTAATCGTGGGCTTGCACACTGTCCGAGACAAAGCTCCATCCAACTTGATCCCGCTGTACGGCATGCTTGCAGAGGAATCCTAGAGACTCGACCGAATGAGACTTGTAGGTGACTTCGTGATGATACGCCAATGCGGCTTCGAGGGGAGCACCAATGTCATAGACATTTCCTAGATCGGCAGCGCGTCCACGGGGATTGGCGCCTCCTTCGTACTCGGTTTCTTCGCCCATAAGGATGCGGGCCAATGTGCGTTGATCGGCCATGTTGGTGAGACCGGTATTGTGTACATGGACCAAACCAACGTCGTTGTACTTGTGTTGCAGTTCTTGGCCAAGGTCCGAATTGGCATGCAGATCTGCCTTGGTGATTTTGCCTTGTCCGTCCACCAAGAAACGAGCGGGATCACATACGGCATCGTATCGACCGGTCCACCAACGAGGAATCACCACGGTTTGACCGGGTTCCAAAATACTATTGTTGGTCCTGCGAATGGCATTTTGGGCGTTAATGCTCTTGGAAATGGTGGACGATGTCTTGCCCACAACCGTGGCGCGGGAAATCTGAGAAGCGGCAACGGCGGCGGCCATCTTATTAGCTTAGCTGAGAAGCGAGAGACAAAGAAGGAAAGGAAAGCAGCAAGGGCAAGGGAGATCAGATCAGATCAGATCAGATCAGATCAGATCAGATAAGTGAGATCAGTGAGATGCTGTCAGAAAGAAAAAAGTGAAGGTTTGGGAAGGTTGTTGTTCTAAGAAAACGAGATCCGATAGACAGGAATCTTCAATTTCCTGGGCCGCTTTGGGCGAACTTGCGTCCTTCACATGGTTTGCCTGCTTGCATGGTGGTGTCAAACAATCAACGGCTCGGAGACCACTGGTGCGCCTCAATGGATGTGCCTTGGATGTCAAGCACTTCCGCATCCCCTCTCCTTCTACCGGTCTGTAGTTTGGAGCCCTCCTGAAGAAATTCCCAGTTCCAATTCCTCGCTTGTATTTTCAAAAAGAGTGAGAAAAAGTTTAGTGAGGCAGGTCTCGAACCAAACTTGATGGCTGGGTCACGAGTTAGGCTTTATGCAGTCAATCATGAAGAACAAGAAAGCATCAAAGTTTGAGCAAAGAGTTAGCAACAGTGCCCCGAACCATGTCAACGGTAAAATTTTCAGCTACACGTGGAGGCAACATACATGCTCTCAGATACCCAACACTGTCTGCTACTAGCTAGTAGCTAGTAGCTAGTCTAGTATCTGTGGGTTTACCGAAAGAACAAAAATCACCCACACTTTTTACAGTGAAACATTCTGTAACCTGCCACGTGCAGAATACTGGCTCAAGGACAATTCCAGCAATAAGACACCTCATCGTGATCATGTTTGCACTGTCATTGCCAAAGTTGGAAATATTACTGTCATGCAGTGGGCACAGCAACAAGGATTCCGTTGGAATGATCGGACATGTTCCTATGCTGCTAAGAATGGACATTTGGGAATGCTCCAATGGTTAAGAGAGAATGGTTGTCCATGGGATGAACATACAGCTTCCTCTGCTGCTACACACGGACATTTGGATCTTTTGCAGTGGGCTCGTGCAAATGGTTGTCCGTGGAATGAACGGACATGTGCATACGCTGCCCTAAATGGTCATTTGGAACTTTTAAAGTGGGCTCATGAAAATGGTTGTCCCTGGGATGAAGGGACATGTGAATATGCTGCCCTAAATGGTCATTTGGAAGTTTTAAAGTGGGCTCGAGAAAATGATTGTCCATGGGATGCAGACACATGTGAATATGCTGCCTTTAATAGTCATTTTGAAGTGTTGAAGTGGGCTGGCGAAAATGGGCGTCCATGGAATGAAGGGACATGCAACTATGTTGCTCAAAATGGTCATTTGGAACTTTTAAAGTGGGTTCATGAAAATGGTTGTCCATGGAGTGAAAGGACATGTGAAAATGCTGCTCAAAATGGTCATTTGGAACTGTTGAAGTGGGCACGTGAAAATGGGTGTCCCTGGGATGAAGCGACATTTGCAGCTGCCAGAAGAAACCTTGAAACTAACAAAAACGAAGTGATTCAGTGGCTACGCGACAACGACTGCCCTGGGTCTCACGATGAAGGACACTAATATAGCAACATCATTTATGTGAACAACCAAACAAGTGCCTACAATCTACATGTACTAGTAGGGCAGCTAGCTAGTAACCATAGCAAGCACGGGTAAATGAAGGTGGCCAGCTGATTGTTCAAAGATCTACTCCTTGAATGTGACAATGCCAGTGACTTTTGCCACGTGAAGGTCACCCCAGCAAAATTCGTCCGTCGGTTGGAGCTCACTTTTTTTGTGGAGTGAATCGAATCTTTGGAAAGATGATGCTCAAGTTCAGCGGAGTATTCTGCGGATAGCTCGCATAGCTGGTTGTTTTGCTATCCTAATTATATCATACATATCCGTAATCACTGTCGCCATGTTGTTGACCATCCACACCAAGAGACTACTTTCGTTAGCTTTCTTTCTCGTGTTTTCAGTAGTCGTGGCGACGGCGGATATTTTGGACGCGAGCAATGTGGTTTGCCCCGTAAGTGGACTTACCGTTGCTCGACAGTCGGTGAATGGCAAGGACTATGTTCGTCGTTACACGGAAATCTCTGGCCTTGCCTTATCGACCACTCAAAGGGCTCCTGGTACCAACAACACTATCATGTACGTGATCAACGATGGCCGCGACGACAGCGGGGGTCGAATTGGGGTTTACGACTCGGGAACGGGGGAACGACTCATCACACTCATTATACCCAACACGACACTCCCGTCGAGTTATGACTGGGAAGCCATGGCCATTGGCTCTTGCGGACACACCAGAGATATTTCGCGTATGTGCTTGTACGTGGCCGACACGGGAGACAACGTGGCTCGACATTCCAGAGGCCGTCGAAGTGATCGCACGGAAAACGATCCGTATCGAATCATCAAACTCAAAGAACCACACATTCATACCTTACCACTCGACAAGGACAATGTCACTATTCCAATCCTCTCGATTCTCCCCTTTGATTATCGACACGCCTCATCTCCCACCAACTTTGCCGATTGCGAAGCAATATTTGTGGATCCAACTGGTTGGGGAGCAGGTGGAGCTATTGGCGACCTGTACGTGGTCACCAAATGGAGTTCTGACTACCAAAACAGAACCAGGCTCTTCCATATTCCTGCTGTGGCTTGGGTGGGAGAACGACAGGACGAGGACAAAGTCATGCCGTTGTACTCTCCCATAGTAATAGGATCCTACAATCCACCCAAAACAGGAGGACCTCTCGGGACCATATTGAAGCATACTTGGACTGGAGCGGATATCACGCGCGATGGAACTGTCATTGCACTCAGCGACTACTACGGCACCTCCCTCTTTTTGCGATGTCCCGGTGCTAGGGTGGCAGAAGCTTTGACTGGAACTACTCAGAGCTGCCATCGATTCTATCATCCTTCGTCCGGACAAGTCGAAACATCCGCTTTTAATGCGGATGGGACAAAGTTACTACAGATCCCGGAAGGATCCAGACCAGTCATGGGATGGACGACCCTGCTTTATCAAAACCATGATATATTCCTCCAGGCCGTATCTAGATCTGGGACGCTCCACGTTTGTCCCAAACTCGAATGGGTCAACTGGGGAGAAGATGAAATGTACTGCCGGTCCAAGTCGGATCTCTCGATCAAACCAGATGAATGGTGCTATTATTCTCCCTACGAGTTGGATGTGGTCTACGAAGAAGTGAATCCTCAACCAGAAAAACCTGCAGAGGGCAGCAACAACGCTACTTCCGCTGGCGGAGGCTTTAGCAGCGGCAATTCTGCTTCCGATACTACCAGCACTGGTGGTGGTATCAGCTCTGATAGTTCCGACACTGCGGGTGGTGCGTCGTCTAGCAGTGGTGCCTCTACCGGTACCAGCAGTGGTGCCTCTACTAGCAGTGGTGACATTGACTCTGGTGGTTCCTCAAGCGTCAGTTTCACTGCAGGTAATAGCAGCATTGGAGTGGAACAATCAACTGGTATTCCTGTAGAAGACTTCTTGGATAGTGCTGATACAGGAGCAGATGAATCCAACTCCAAGACGTGGTCTTCGGGGCAGTCAAGTTTGCTGATTGCTTCGCTTGTTTCATTGATTTGCACTTGGGCAGCCACTTCAGCGTGATCTGGCTGGGACGTTACTTGGTAACGCGATAAGCAGACACGACAGTCTGGTACGGTAACCAGCATTGGGTGCTCTGGTCAAATGAAAAAGGAGGCCGGGTCTTCATTCTGTGGAAAGTACCAGTACCTGTGATCTATCAGATCACCAGTGGAGTACAAGACATTTGCAAATGCCGAGAACTTTGCAAATGCTGAGAACTTTTGCCAGGGTGGACTTTGGAGGGCATTTGGCAAGATCTTGGCTTCAGCTGACACAGCCAGGTGAAACGGAGAATGTGGGGGAGGACGACCCCACGAGGTCGTGGACCGCCCATACGTATGATAGTCAATACCGCACGCCAGAGGACTCATCTAGTTTTCCCGACATTGGGCAATTTTAAAAGATTTGCTTTGCATTACAATGCTTCCTTGCCTTGGTTTGTACAGTGTACAGTGTAGCGTATCGCGAAGAGCGACAGTCGCGTCCCGACGAGTCAGTGGCTGCTCCATGATTCGACAAGGACAGAGATGCGGTGGTAGGCAAGCAATCGCTGGATCGACGAACAAGCGACGACCGGAATCGGGAACTTGAATCCGTGTTCGTCGGCTGGATCCCTCACCAGTCCATCCTACCTACGGTAACACCCCATATAGGAGGCTTGTTTTGATTCTCCATGGACGAGTTCCTGTTCCGTGTTGCTTAGCTGTGACGGGCCACATCTCCTGCCCCGGCCGCCCGTGCTCGAGTTTTTCCATGGCGAGACTTTTTGCTTGACTACAACGTGCCCTGAGGCTATGACGACACTAACGAAGCAAGAATCAGAAATCTGTCGCTGGGCCAATGGAGCACGAAGGCGAGTGGAGGAGTAACAGTCGAGTCAAGTCGAGCTATAGTAGCTATGCAGTAGAGCGATCTGCCTCCCAACTTGAATCGCAAACGTCAGGCCTACCTTTGGATATACCGGTGATGACCTGCCCTTTTTTGTGTCCGCAACCGAAAAGGCCCGTCCCGGACCTGACCTGATCCACCCCGGCCTCGGGTTGAACTCTAGGCTGGCTACTAGGCAGCTTGCCGCTTGCAAGAAAAGAGCGTGCACACGAGGTCACAGGCCATCTCACATACTAAAACACATAATATAATATATTGTAGGCCTGGGCCATATGGTAGCTTCTCCAGTCTGGGTTGCCCCAGCCTTGCAGCCGTTGCTATAAGGCACGGCCTAGGCCCAGCCCACCCATGTGGTTGAAGAAGAAGGACTGACAAAACAGTTGGGGCAAGCAGACATCACTATGACTTAGGAAAGACGAGGTCTTGGTCCCAACATGATTTATTATTAGCAATCCTGTTCATAGTCTGGCAGCCAGTTTCTGCTTGATAGTCTTGACTGTGTCGTTGAGTGAGTGTTGCTTTGATGGAGTGGATGTTTCAGTGTAGATTGGCTCCTTTCCAAGCTCTGTGGAACGACGAACGACGAGAAGCTAGCTATTAGATCGGTGCCTTTTGTAGAGCTGTCCGAGACCCGAGACCCTGTTGCGAGCTGGCATGTATCCATACTGAGTTCCAACTGTAGTGTACCGGGTGTAAAAGTGAGTGTGACAAAATTTGGTTTTTTGCTGCCGCGATCCGAGAAGAGTATTCAACAGAGCACTGTTAGCAATGGGAAGTGGGAGTCACAAATACTCATCCGTATCGCTCCTATCAGATCTGGAGTCCTTTTCCTCTTCCCCCCCGTCATCAGACATACTATCCAGTAACAGTTCAAGCCCTTTATTATGACAGCTACCTCTGAAAGGGTGGAAAGCATCAAGTTTCACTGAAACATGGTTTCTAGTGAAACATGCAGAGTAAAGGCGGTGTTTAATGAGGGTGTCGATGCCTCCGGAGCAACGAAGGGTATTTTGAGTCGAGTGAGTCAACGTTTAGAGAGTGAAGTAGCCAATTCCGCGCCAAACAGCTGAAGTTGTCCAATCACGCAACTTGTCTGATTGAAATTGCAATTGACTTGATAGGTTTTACGCGACGATCTGGTAGGACAAAATGGTCGGATCCAATAGGAATGATTTTGCTTCCCAAAGATCTGACAGAAGCCAAAGCTGTACGACCATTTTTACGAAGGTTCTGGTAGGACAAAAATAGTGAGACGGCCCCACCCGCACGGCCCCACCGTTGGTTTTTAGTAAGCTCGGATTTGACTTCGCGAGTTATGTATCAGAAGAAGCTCTCACAATCCCACAATTGGAAACTCCAGCAACCTCCAAAGCGATCCACCAGATTGCAACTAACACAATACAAGTACAATACAAGTACAACAACAGTTACTCCAACTAATACTCGTCTCAACAAAACATCTCATAAAATGTCAGAGTTGATCACAACAACTGCTAATAGTAACACTACCAACACCAACACGGGCATGACACTGACCGTGGATCCCGTGAGCAACAAGATGGTGTTCCCAGCAGACTTCTGTCCTGGAATCCACTTTGTGATTTGCGGGCGTGGAAAGAAGTCTTATGGTCACATGGGCAACAAGCACTTTGTCAAGGAGATTGTGTCTCTCCACTTGGAAGACTACTCTTACGCCTCCACCAAGTTGGCCAAGTCCGCCATTGTCCAAGCCATTGTCAACCAAGTCGAAGCCAAGGGAGGATTCATCCGATTCGATACACGACTCCAGCGCTATGTCAAAGCCGAAGACAACATTGGACGCGAAAAGACGTCGCAGTGTCTCCGCGATGGACTCAAGAACAAGTACAAGTCCAGCAAGGAAATCAAAAAAGAGAACCGTCGTCAGAAACGATTGGCCGAGGAATCCGAAGAAGAGCAGAGCGTGGAACTTGCCAAGCCAGTCGAGCTGAAGACGTACTTGAAGCAACTTCAATTCTCTACTAAGTCTGCGAGCTGTGAAAGTCCCACCACTGTCATGGACTTGATCCACCATCTTCGCTTGGCGGAAGTCTTGCGCTTGCCATTGACCAACGGAACCTTTCCTCCTCGTACTGTTAGCATTCAGTCGCAGCTACTACATGAACCTTCGGTGGAAGACGATACTGCTCGTGATGATGATGTTTCGGAAATCACCACGCAGAATCTTCCAACCATCTTTCATGCTACTATGATGAATGCCCACTATGCTAACAACAACAACAACATGGCTGCCACCGCCGCCACGGATCCCCTCGATCAACTTTTGGTTGATGAACTCGGAGAGTATTCTTCCGAGACCATGACCACCGTTGATCCCATCCAGTTCCTCTAAGGTAGAGGAACTTGGGTAAAGGGGGTTGATAAGGAATTATTGTTAAGAGCATGATGGGGATTCATTTCATGAAAGGAACCGAAGTTTAACCGCTTGGATCATTTGATGGAATTGGAACCTCCTCTCGCGTGTTCGCAACACACAAGAGCTACAACCCAACACAACACCAATCAAGATGTCAGATCATTATCGCGCTTTTTTATTCTGTGTCGAAGATAACCACAGACAAAAAAAACTTCGAGTTTCCTCCTCTTAACCGGGTATTTATACACGGGGACCAGGGAAGGGAGTATCAAAACTAAAAATATATGTCAAAAGTAATACTAATAGTAATGGAACTAACTGTGAACACTACAAAACCAAACCAATACATTCTTGTCTTATCTATCTATCCAACTATCTATAAGCTAGCTAGCTAGAGCTAACTATCTCCTTGTCGCTTGCTTCATAGCAAGGTGATTCGGAGAAGACTTCCTCTTTCAAGTGCTTGGCAGGACGAGCGATCACGGATGTTTCAGTGAAAACTCGCAGAGTACCGGTAGACTACTGGATCTGCTCAGCCACACGTCACTCAACCCAAGCAAGTCACGGCATTGGCTCTCCATCATGTGTAACACTACTGTACTGGTAGCTGCTGAGAAAGGAAAGTCAGCCGTACAGAGACCTCTGATGATCGGATCGCTAGATTCCGTATAAGTCTACGTGCGTTGCACAAATCAAGCAGTGCAATGGTCGGTCCTAGCTGGCAGCTCCCAGTCTCGCAGTCTGGACACCGGTCAGACAATCCCATCTCTTTTTTTATTTATTTTTAATCATCAAAATTGTCAGTCCCCCCGCGCACTATTAGCACTATTAGTGCGCGCCGCGCACTATTAGTGCGCGTCCCGGCACTCAATTTGAATATTTTAAAATGTTAAAATACTAGTATTATCACGAAATTTTGCTAGCTTTTGTTTTGAAAGGATTACTACTAAGACAGGGTTACTCGGCATTCTGTCTGTTTGCCTTTTGGCCATAAAGTGATCCTTTGACTTATGGAAATGTCTACAGACCATTGAAAGGATTTAAGAAATTAGGAGACATTAGGAGACAAAGTGATACATTGGTAGACATTAGTATACAAAGTGATACATTAGTAGACAAAGTGAGACATTGGTAGACATTGGTAGACAAAGTGAGACATTGTGAGACATTTTTGTACTGTTTTACAGTACATGGTAGACATTAGTAGACAAAGTGATACATTGGTAGACATTAGTCTACAAAGTGATACATTGGTAGACAAAGTGAGACATTGTGAGACATTGGTAGACAAAGTGAGACATTGTGAGACATAAGCCACTTTTTCTAAGGAGCATAGAACATTTAAGCCACTCTGTAATCAGACACAACAGCTTAAATAGACAAAATGCCGAGTAACCCAGGACTGAACAGTACGTACGGTACGGACGACCTTCCTAGACTAGTGCCCCCAGCTGGATCCTCATTATGAAGAAAGCAAGCATGGAAACCTTGGCAGACCCGAAAATCATCACAATACATGTAGCACACCACAAGCCGGACGTATGATGCATCCACAGCCATGGATATCCCCAAGGCAATTCGTCGTCAGCCAAGTGTGGTACATGTTTATTAATGTATTGCTGCCAAAAGCTACACGCACACGTACCGAACGCCAATATCTCTAGCCAGCAGCGGTACCGGTACCGGTGGCAAGTCCCCGTGCCTGTGACCACCACAAACAAAAGCATCCACGACTGCAGGGAGACGGGCCACTTGGCATGAACTTTCCAAAGAGCGGCCCACAATGGCTCCCACAATGCACTCACAATTTGCAATAGCGCCACAACCAACAGAGAAACAAAAAGATCGAAACATGAACTCAAGCGAAGGAAATATGATGCCCAAAGATGTTTTGGAGGAACAGGGAAAAGGAGACGAGGTATCTTTGCTCGCAAAGCGCTTTCGAGCAGAGATCGACAATGCCAATGCGGTACATACGGAATGGCTTGCAAAATACTGTGCCGATTGCGATGACGGGTTTGTGGATTGTGTGGACTATGGCGACAAAGAAGATGAAGACGACGAAGAGAAGACCCTCAAAGCAGAGGAACAAGAGCGGAAGCGCCCGAGCACCAATTCTGCTGGCAAGAGGAAGGACGCCCCCTCAGTCACACAGCAAACATCTCGTCCCACCAAATGGCTCAAAGCCGTCAATGGTGACAAGAAATCTTGTGTGGCTCCTGGTGGACTTGGTGTCTTGGGAGACGCCATGCTGCTTGTCATGGAGTACTTGGCGCCGCGGGAGCTTTTTCGGGTGGCGTTCACTTGCAAAGCGCTGATGGACAAGGTAACCACTCCTATGGTGGTGCGAAGCGCCATTATGGCTGGTAGTCGTTCCAAGGCCGCGATGGACGCCTTGCATCCTCTGATGAAAAGCCAATGTATCCACGTGCCGTCTCCTTTGCGATTGTTACGCCTGGCGAATGCCAAGAAATGCGAGGCACCAGAATGCAACAATACAAACACAACGCTGCGTGCCGGTTGGGGTGTGAACTTGTGTTGGCCATGCATTGGCAGTCTACAAGAGCGTCCCACTGCGCACGTGCAGATGGTGGACAAACGATACCTTCCCTCTCGGTGGGGAAAGACTTTTTCCAAGGTCATATTGCAACATCCGCGTGTGGCCAAACACATCCATTGGCGCCATATGTCGAAACGCCTTCACTTTTGGTGCAAGGAACTCGTTTCTCCTTCTGGTGAGACCCACGGACCATTGATCACAGTGGGGCAAATAGACAACGTGAAAGAACACCTCGCAAAGGGCGACGTGGGTGAAGAGGCCCTCCTGTGCGTAGTGCTCTTGGAAGGAGCTCCGGAACCCCGAGAATACCGTCCTTTCGTGGAAGCATACGAAAGCAGTGCCGCCCAGGCCAAACTGGCGGAAGCTACAAGACGAGAGGAAAAAGAACGAGCAAAGACGAGCTGCAAAAAGGGTGTGAAGGAGTTGCTGGACACATTGCGAGGCCATATGGACGAGCGATGGAAAGAATGCATCTTCGATCACGAGATGGTTGACCAATGGTCCCGTGGAGGCAAGAGGAAGCAATCCACCGTCAAATTCCATGTGGGTTTTGTGGATGACCTGTTGAAGCCCTACGTAGCCGCCCCCAGCATGGCCAAGAAGAAAAAGGTAGTTGCTGATCTTGCCAGCGAGATCAATCAAAGGATGGGTCAGGTCTGGACTCTTGGAAGTGGCCAAGCCGACGCGCAGCAAAGCGAAAACAACGCTGAGCCCAGCACGGCCCACCACGCATAGATCTGGTGATCAGGGTTCGCGTGCCCCTTGTTGATCGTACGGGACATGACCAAAGCCATTATCCGGCGACGAGGTCAAAGCTCGCAGCCTTGGTGTTCGCACGCGAAACGCTGCTCCTAATACCTAATCTATATAGAATTCGTACGAGCAGCTTTGTTCTCGTTAATGTTTGGTTTTGTCGTAGCCCGAAATTACACTGTATCCAATCATCCCGCTATGATGGTTTGCTCAGGATAATTTGATCTGGAATTGTCGTTTATAATTGACGTTTATAATTAATATATCTTTCCTGCGGCTGTGCACAAAGAAGGATATCGCTGGAGGATATGAAACAAGCATGAGACATCCCCTGACGCCTCGCCCAGGACCTGGAGAGTGGTTCGATCAAATTCTTCTTCCTCGGTGCCAGTAAAGGCTTCTAGCTTTCTAATTCCAAATTGTCTGAGCTTTTGATAGTGCTCAAACTTTGCTGCCATTTCTTCATCTTCGTAATGGAAGCAGAGGCCATCATCCCTCGAGAACCCAAAGTCGATCAGTGAATTGTTGCGACCTTGTTCCATGATGAGATCCAGCCATGGTTGCTGGAACTCTATAGGGACAAACAAGTTGACATCACCTTTTGCTTTGATACTCAACCTCTGAAGTTTTGTGTTGGACTCGAGTGCTGTGGGAATGGCGTCGCAGAGCAACCTCTTCCAGGTGACCTCACCTTGGGGGGTCGCGGATATTTGACGGGTGTGTCCCAAGCCCAACATGTCGTCAGTAAGGATGGGCATAAACTCAAAATCTTCCAGTGGTGATTCTGGGCCCAACAACTGAAGAAAGATATCCAAGCTTCTCGCACCCAGGCAGCAGTGTTCAAGGTGAAGCCTTTTGAGCTTCCTTGCATGTTGTAGTATAGACGGTACAATGCTGTCCCAATCAGATTCTTCAACGGAAAAGCCAGTGAGCAAAAGCTCTTCCAGACATGGGCATGATTGGAATAGACTCTGTAGACATGAAGGCTCCAGACCTTCTGTCCTTTTCTGGCTTAAGGCAACTCGTTTAAGGGATGGAATGGATGCCAGTGGTCCTAAAAGGGATGCAATAGACAGTTCACTCTGGATTTTGATACCACAGTTTAGAGACTCTATTTGGAAGCAGGAAGTGATATCAAATTCTTGCAAGCATTGGAGCTTCTTGAGAGACTTATAGAAATTGCTGATTTCTGGGTGGATAAGCTGATCAGATTCTTTGCGAGTCAGCAATATTATGTTCTGGAAGTGAACCTTGCAAATTGTTTGGGCTGCTCCTTGCAACAAATTCTTGAGGGATTTGACGGGCAGAATCGGGGCATTTACCCGTGCATTGACGTCTCCTTGGATGGAGAGCTCCTGAAGGTTGGGGAGTTGGCCAACTGCGACTAGCAATCTAGAGTAGAGCTTGTCCATCTGAGGACCCTCCTTTCCTTTTGTAATGTGAACTTTAGTAGATGCTTCACTGTAGAATCCTGATTCAAGAGCTCTTATGGTTTCCTTTAGCGCCATCATGTCGTGACCAATGCTGATAGTCAGACAATCACCAGCTGGTGCCTTGGGTGCTGATACTGAGGTTGGGGTTGATGAGTGTGGCTTGGACCGAGAAAAGAAGGCTGCTGCTTTCTTGGCAGTCAAAGCCTTGACCTTGCGAAGCTTTAGATTCGGTTTCATCATCTTGGGTATTGTGTACTGTTGGGGGAGACCTTCCAGGTCATGGGTGTCGCTGTTGTGAGCAATCTGTGCGGCCGCATGACCGCACGCAGATCTCCCTTCCGAGGCAGTCGCAAAGAGCATAACGGAGATATGGCTAGTCACATATAGCTGATTATTATATAGATATTCAGGACGGATATATATACCGTTCTGTGACACTCGCACGACTGATCAACCACGTAAATACCAAAGTTGTTAAACCATACTCGCCGAAACACAGACGCACATGGGATCGCTAGATACCGAACTGAAACTTTGAAGAGATCGCTGACCAAATACAGAATCGCTGACTGGACTCGACTCATCAGAGTCAATCAATCCATCCAACCACATCGTCGCACAAACTCCGGAACACCACTCCACACCGTACACCGTACCACCACACCACCACACTCTCAGTTGCCATCGTCGTTCTTCAGCACTGCTGGAGAGAACACCGCATTCTCAGTTGCCATCTGCTATATCAGATTCTTCATCACTGGCATTAACTCCAGAACACCACATGGCATCCTCAGTTGCTGTCTTCGTCATCATCTCCATCACTGGAGTTAAATGTCAGACCATCCCCATGAAGCAGAGACCGACGAACATTGGCCTTGGAAGTTCCAGTAGAAGAGGAACCCGAGGACAATGGAGTAAAAGCAGAAGGAAGGTCCACGGGAGTACTCGTAGAAAGGGACATGCGGCTTCCATCAGGACTGTGGAACAGATGGGCACTCTTCTTGCGAACTTCCACAGGTGGGAGCTTTGCCACCGGATGTTCTCCATCAATCATAACCGGATCACGACCACTACCATCACCAGTGCTGCCCCTGGAAGAGGAAGATAACGGAGGCAATCGCAGTTGCTGCCGCTTCCCCGATCCAAGGGTTCCAGATGGAGTTCCACGCTTCTTCGGAGTCATTTGTCCTCGCGGGGTGGAAGACTTCGCAGCTGGCTTGCTGTCCTCCTCGTCTTCTGCTTCGTCACCATCCTCTTCGGCCTCTTCATTGCCATCCTCTTCATCATCTTGGTCGTCATCGTTGCCGTCACCATCATTGCCATCGTCGGCACCATCCAAATAATCGCTGTTGAGAGTGCGACGGACCAATCCAGTATTGGCATCATAAGCCGAGTCATCATCATCAGAGGGAGGGTGACGCAGCCAGTTAAGATCCATACCAGAGCGAAGAATGGAGTTGTTCAAGTAGTTCTCCGGTGTTCGACAAAGGAAACCAAGACAATGGTGTTCGCTGGAGTGAGTCTCAAGGTCCGCGTTGGTAAGACGAATAAGAGGAAGACAAGTGAAACCATTCCATGGATAGTTGGCATCAAAAGACACCTTTCGAATGTGGAACTCATAGCGGGACCACTTCATGGCACCACAGATCACACGCCAATGGTTTTGCTTGGAGGTGATTTCCATCAGGAACAAGCGAAGCTTCTCGATGAAGATGCTGGAGTACTCGCTGGGCACACCACACAAATCCAGCTCCCCCCCAACAGGAGGCAATGGATAGTCACCTTCTTGTCCGTGGTAAAATGGATACTCTTCCAACTCCTTCTTACGGTCGAACATCCAGGCCAACGTCATATCAAGGCTGTCACGCGCAACATCATCCACCTCAGTCCAGCCATCAAGAACACGCCCAGGCAAGTCAATGCGACCGAGGTTTCCACCAAGATTCCCAGCACGAAGAATGTTAAGACCAGTAAGAGTCTTTTCCTGCTTGCGAATCAAGTTGATGATGGCAGGATCCAGAGGGAACTCGTCGACTGGATCATCGGGAAGCTCAGCTTGTGCAAGAACGAAACGCTGCGAGGGTGGACCAGTGATGGTGTTGGTCTTGCTTGACAAGGAAGGAAGGGAACGATGACCTGGAGTGTTTCGATCCCGTGACACACTGGTGAACGAAAGTGCTGGCAAACGAGCAACCGCAGGAGCAGGGGTACAAAAAGCAGCTGAATGCTTACTTGCAGTGGCAGCAGCAGCATTCTTGCGTTCAATGGCGAATTGAGGAAACTTTCCGGCAGTGGTAATCTGAGCAAAGCCATGTTTGCGTTCCTTCTTGTTGGAAGACTTCTTGGGAGGCTTCTTCCTCGGTGGTGAGGGAGTCCGACGATGTTCGCGACGGGGACGATCGGCCATGGTGAAGCTTTTACGACAACTTGAACTGCAACTTGCAAGGAAATGAGCACGAAAGACAATCAGAGTGGACGAAATGCAAATCGTCCTTGGAATAATGAGAAGTGGTCTTGTCGTGAAATGGCCCAATCCATGGCTATGCAGGTAGGTTCGGCAGTTCACCCATAGTCTATCTCTATGTATTACTCACTTGCCATGACAATTTCCTCAGGAGACCGAACCAGTGTGCAAACCACCCCAGTTGTCAATCGTTCGCTCTATGTCAAGGCACTGAGAGTCGATCGAGGCATTCCTCATGGAGGGTGGTGGGCGACTGCAATCTAAGTAATATATAGTTGCTACGTCTTTATGCTTGGCGTTGGGATCTTTCATGCACCAGGTCGTTCGCTTGAGAAAGGTACGCACCACTGTCTGTTCGGAATACGACTCTGAATATTCGACCTCATTTTTTCGTTCGAAATGAAGATACATCTCATTCCTTTTTTGTCTCCGACACGCAACGTTGCTGGTACAGTCTATAAGCTGGACCATCCTTCATGAACAGGAGAAGTTCTTGAAGGCACATCGAATCCTCTGTGTTCTTGCTGGTGGATGCCTCTCCTGTAAAACGCGATCTCTGTTTATCCGAAACCTCCAAACCGAGATAATTGACTGCCTTTACCTTGTGATCAGTAGACAGAGTTTCGATGAATGATGTCTTGGTTTCGAGCATCTTGGGAGTCTTACGTGCCACTCGACCATTCGTCAGGAGACCTCCCTGATACATCCCATCTCTCCGCCCCCTTCCTTGAGCCTTATATCCTCTTCGGCGGCTGTTACAGGGAACCTTTCTCATATCCTCCAGCGAGACATCGAATTGTCCATATCGGCTACGGAGGAAAGCTGCCGCGGGACAGTTGAAGCCGTTCCGCTTCCGACAATCCTCACAGTCGCCAACGATGGCACGGTCTTCAGTTCGCATGGTTAATACACAAGAGTTTCTTGTGACCGAAATCATCTTGCGAGCCGTGACATGTCTGCTCTGTCCCTTTTCAGAGTACAAGTCATCGAATGGTTCCTCGTCACCGTTAAGGGACGATCGTATCAGACCCAGTCTCTCTCCTGTAATGGCATGTCCAATTCGAAATCCAATATTGGAGATCCATGCAATGGGTACCCCCATACCATTTGACTGAATAGGCACAATGTCTCAATTCATTTGCATGAAGGTGGAGACTATAAGACACAAGAGAGAACAGGTACGTGGTATGACAATGGTACACGGATCGGCTCTATCCATTGCATCTCTTCGGAGCAAACTGACAAGTGTATCAACCAAAAGACGCCCAAGGGACACATTTAACTCAACTGGTGAGCTTTTCGCCTTGATTGCATGGTGGTTGTGGCTCTCGTTACTGCAATTACTGCAGGGCACTCCAATGTGTCCAGTACACGCATAGTTGTGGTTGAAGTAAGGTCCTGTCGCGTACATTCGAAGGAAATGTTCTGCGGCATCGTGTTCTTTCAAATCCTCTGACCAGTGCCGAAGAACAAGTTCAGTCACCTTCGCTCGTTGTTCTGTTGTCTTGCAGTGATGGATTAACTGCACCTGACGATAAGCCTCTGACTTCACATTGCTTTCATTCTTGTTGGTTCGAGCAAAGGATCGGTTCTTGAATTTTTTCACAAAGCCGTCGTTTTTGGAGAAGTGTTGCATGACATGGAAGTAGCACAATGTCGCGGCGTGTCGATGTGGAGACACTGCGGCTTGTTCCCTCCATGACTCCCAATCAATTTCTTGGGCTGCTATGCCACTTGAACTGAGGACTGCATCTGGCTGGGCTTCTCTCGCTACATCTTGCACATTATTAGTGGTGTTCGCAGTGTCTGTTGTGTGCTTTCTGTGGTTGAATTCAGTAACAACTTGTGGTGCCCGTTGTGTTGTGTCACAACAAGTTGGACGGTTGTGGAAAAAGCGGTGGGCCTTGATGAATGCATCAGCTCGATCAGAAGTGCCCCAATCAAGTTGAAAGTCCACATTAAACAGTGTCATGCAGACATTCCTCAACACAAACAAGGTAAGGCAATAGGGATAAAATCGTTCGGCCCCAACATGAAGATACGCTATTGGTCTCAAAGATGCTGTCACTTGCCCTTGAGTCTCTCTTTCCTTTACAGACAATGCTCCAATAACAATGAGGGTGCTCATGTCCACACAAGTGCCCCCTGTTCCATCTGCACATATCTGCCTGGTCCCTTTCGTTCGAAGGGCAAGGTTCATCAGCATAAACAAACCAGTTGGCGAGGTTGCGAAGAAGGCTTGTTCCATCTTCTCCTTGAAGTCGGACTGTTTGGACGACGTGTTTAATGCCATTGCCTGGACGAATCTGCCCTGCACTTCGCCATATGACAGATCGAACACAAACATTTCGTCCACTCCGGCATTCAGTGCAGATGCCAGCTCATCTGCTGTTGCGTAACACTTTGGTTTATACCCAGGTGGTACGTGCATCTTCCAGTTTTGCAGAGCGCGATAAAGGTTGTAAGCATTGTCCAGCTTACGTTCCTTCCCCAACTGTGCTTCCATATACCGGATCTTCTGGTGGTCCATGTAGCTTCTGATTTGTGACTTCAAGTGCTCTCTAAAATCCGGCTGCAAGAGATACGCATGGTTGTACAGCGGGTGACTGTTGTTGTTTCGACGCCTACTGCTTTCAATTGATTCGGTAAGTCCTTGTCGGATCTCTTCGGGCCTGACCTTCAAGATGCATCTATTCTTGACAATGTGTTCGTGCTGGATCATCGATTGGATAAAGCTTTGTACCACAAAGGGTAACCCATGCTGGTCCTGTGGCGAATCAGGCTGCTGCTTCATGGCGTGGTTGTGCTGTAAGAAGCCTTTGGTATAGACCTGGAAAGTCTCTCCATTATCAGTGTCGGTGGTCAGTTTCTGAATTTGGCACCGCCACTTACATTTTACATGCATACCGGTCAGTGGGTGTTGCTGGGTTGCGGTACAGTGATACTTATACTTCGTGCAGTTCCTTCCTTTCTCTGTTCCATCGGCCTTTATGCAGTATTCGTCGCCAAAGTAACCACCATAATGACTAGCGACCTCTGCTTGTGCATCTTTCAATGTATGGCATGCTCTGCACTGCGTATCTTCTATGAAATGCGACAATTGTGTTGGTGGTTTCTTTGCTGTTTGTTGCTTCGTCCCTGTATCATGGGATGCATATCCTCCTCGATTGTAGTCGCCTGGACCGGGACCGTAGTACGTCCTCCAATGATTACCCAAGTAGCCTTGATTCCATTGGTTGCTACTATTCCATTGTTGCGACATGATTAGACTAGTTTATTGCTATCCACTATGGTGTCCCCTACCGCCACTACCAACAAACAGAATCATATTGGGAGTCCTCGACAACCAACAAAACAGAATGTATTGGGAGTCTCTCCTTGGAATTTCCGAAATTCCACTCCTCTTCTAGAACGTTCCATTGTTGCTTCTAGAACCTTCTCTTGCGTCCCTTTCCAATGCAATGGAATGCATACTTGCCGACTCCTTTTCCCTCCATTCTTGGCCTTTTTATCAGTATTGTATGCTCTTTTTCCTTTCCTTTCGAAAGTGGATCCAATTGAAGCAACGACGAAATTTTTGTGGGGCGTCAGGCGTTCGGCGGGAGAATCTTCCCAATGCTCGCAGCTTTTTTTTCATTCTTCCTCCTTTGTCCTGGATTTGTAAGTGCGACCATGGCGTTTGTGTTTTTCTATGCTTTGTTATCCTTTCCTTGCTAACTACTATCTTTATCTCCTATCAATTCTACCTCAACAGAAGCATCGCTTGTTGTTATGCCACATCACGTCATTTCCTTCCTACAAGATACGGGTCCGCCTTGTCCCAAGACCTGTCCGACTACTCCTTGGTGGTTACCTCATGACATTCTCGGCCCCGTGGCGTTCTGTGATTTTGCTCTCCTTTTCAACCTCTTCCTTTCCTTGATCAATCGGTCGTTGTTGTGGTTGCTCTGTTGTTGCGGTGCGCTTGTTGTCGCCGTTGCTGCGTCATGGTCTCTTGCTGCTACCAAAAACGTAAGTCCTTTGTTCGTGACTCGACTCCTTTTTGTCTCCGAGTGTTGTCTTGTGCACTTGGTCTAAGTCCATGTGTTTCTCTGTTAAATCTAACATGTTTTGTTTCATGTGTTCGGGACTGGTCGGCCTCATGTGCTTCGCCAGGAGTTCCCCAGGTCCAGCAGCAAAGCACGAACCTTCAAGGCGGACAAGACACCCCTGGAACCTGACAGCATTATTCGAATTGAATTGAGTTGATCGAGTTGAGTTCTAGGCAACCATGTTGGCACTGAAGAAGAAGCGAGAGGCAGCAGCAGCTGCAGAAGCCGCGGCAGCAGCAGAAGAAGCAGCACGGCCAAAGCAAGAGCCATCAGCTGATGGTGGCGCTCAGAAGGTGTCTCTGTTTGGCATCGGCGGTGAAAAAAAGACGAAGAATGGAGACGGGAAGACGGGAAAGAAGCGATCTCCAGGAGAGATCCGTATCCAAAAAGGTAAAGGAGTTAGTTTTGATACAGTGCAACTTAGTGAAGCCATGAATAGCTGAATTATTGGTTTTTTTGTTTGTCATTTCTTTTTCGTGCATTGATCAGACATTGCCGAGTTGGATGGAGGCAAGGTGGCAAACATCACATTCCCCAATCCAAACGACTTGACGAGCTTTGAAGTCTCCATCAGCCCTGACACTGGATACTGGACGGGGGCCACCTATCACTTCACTTTCACAATCCCACCTCATTACCCTCACACACCACCCAAGGTGGAATGCACCACGGTCCGTAAATCAGCATGATGCGACTCATTGTTGGCGTCTTCTGCTCTATCGCTCACTCTTGTAATTTTCTCTCCCTTATTATGTTGTGTCCAGAAAATTTACCACCCCAACATTGATTTGCAGGGCAAAGTGTGTCTAAATGTAAGCCACTCTCCGTGCTGCTGGAAACTCGCTCATGATCAATTGAATCGTCTCTTATGCTGTGTTTTGGCTTATGTCTTGTCCTCTACTCCAAAGATTCTTCGTGAAGATTGGAAACCCGTACTCGACATCAATGCTGTGATTTACGGTCTCATTTACCTCTTTTACGAGCCCAACCCCGATGATCCTCTCAACCACGAGGCTGCAGAATTGTTTCGAAAGGATGTCCGCCAATTCGAGCGGTTGGTCACGCGCACTCTTCGGGGAGGCATATTGGATGGAGTGCAGTTTGAACGGCTTGTATAGATAGAAAGGAACACAAACAGAAAAATGATTCAGTGCTACGTCAAAACGACAATCAATGAGCTCATCCTGAGCGGCCTGGTGGTGGCCAAAAGCGCCCAATACATCCGAGTCACGATTGATACCTGCTTACTTTGTTTGTACCGTACGACGAAAGACACAAAAGTACAAACCATTCAATGGCTTTTGATCCGATTCCTTTGTTTCTACAGCCACACAAAAACAACTAGTTGCTTGGAGAGAGAAAAATGGCAAAGACTGTAGCTGCAAATTTGGGATCGATAGATCAATGTTATGTCATTGCGTCTCGATGGAGTCTGTCTATGTATATTCTTTCCGAGCCAGAAATCAGGAGCTCCATTCACAGGCCATCCTCTGTCCCGTAGTGCAAGGGCCTTGTCTCCAGCTGTGGCACCAGCATCCAGATCACCACACACTAAAAACCACCATTTGATCGGGTAGAATGCAATCATCGAATTAATTTCGGAGCGGGCAAATGCAAACCATTCATTCATGAGTGTTGTCCAGCATACCAAAATGTAGCCTCCATGACAGAATCGTGATTTGACCCTCGACTACCCACCACAGGACGAGAAGCGTCCGTCAACGTATATCAGAATTATTCAAACAAGTTTCAATCAAACATCTAGCTAGCGAGACACGCTTCCACTGTTCGTCGGGTACTAGCTAGCTAGCTAGCAAAACTACTCATGAGGATTCTCCTCCTCGCCCAGCGCAAGACTGGAGGGGTTCAGGGGTGTAGCTTCCTGCCCACCAATGATCAACTTCGCGAGTTTCTCTTCCGCTCGGGAAATTCGGACTGCTTTGGTTGTCAGGAGACGGTCAAGCTGCTCCACTTTTCTGTCTGCCACTCCCCATTCTCTGTACAGCTTTTTGGCTGTGGCCAAGTAACGCACCGCATCGACTTCCCTTTGATGTGACAACAGCATTCTTCCAGCTCGTTCACAAGCAAGGGCTTGTTCCTGGAGATATCCTTCGGCATGCGCCAACTGGATGGATTCTTCAAACTTGGCGACTGCCGAGTCCACATCCCCAGATACACGTGCCAACTCAGCCTCCAGCAAGCAAACCTTGTTTTGGAGACTATCTGGATTCACTTTGGCTGCCTTTTTGAGCTCCGTCAATCTTTTCCGGGCCACCCTGTGCTGTTTGCGTGACTTCTCGGCCAAAACGGCGGACACCAATCCCTGGAGAAATGTCTGGACGGTACCGGTGAACGGAAGCACAACAGAACGCATGTTCTTGCGAATCACTGGTGTGAGAGAATCTGCGTACTCATACTCGTTAAAGTACACTGCCAGCAGATACTTTATCTGGTGCAGCCACAGGAAGCCAGTGCTATGGTTTGCAACCTTCTCGAGCATTTCCTCTTCTACCATCGCTGAACCGGTGAGATAGACCAGGCCTGTCGATTGGAGATTGCGGCATCCCTGAAGCGTAATCTTCAGCATGTCGACCATAAACAGCTGTCCATACTCGTAGCATTCGTGTTTGTATTGGACTATTAGACGCTCCAATGTTCTCAAGGGTGCACCGATCACGAGGGTCATGGCACAATGCACAAACGCTGCAATCATCGCAACGTGGGTTGCGCCTCTTGAGATACCCAGACGGTGTGATTCGACGATGGGGTCGACACAGTTTCGGTAAGAAACAGAAGCTGGCAATGCATCGCCCCATACAGTGCATAGCGTCTTGGGTGATGCGCCCGAGAGCGGAAACTTTTCCATCAGTCTCAGAGCCAACTGGCCATATCTTGCAGCCGGCTCAACTAGACCCAGGCGGCCCAGCACCGAGGCGTAGATCCCAAATCCAATAGAACCTAGATGACAATTAAAGAACAAACATTGTGAGATGTGCAGTCCAGGCCATTCGATGCCGTTTACACTGGACACTCACTTAGTGGAGACAAGCCGTAACGGACCGTCAGCCTCACGAGGCGGAAACCAACCAGAGGTGCAGCCATCACGTTGGATATTATGAGGGACCCATACATGACATGGATGATGCTCATCAAACCAATCGCTCGAAAGTCCGTCATTGGAGGCAACTTTAGAATCTCCTCATCGTCAATTCGTCTTAGAACCCTCTTCGTCTTGAGGAGATCCATCACGAGACCAATAGGTCCAACCTTCTTTGGAAACTGCTGACCAAGCTGCCCGGAAACTTTGCACCCCAACGAGATTGCCTCTTCGTGTCGTTCCCTCGACATGAAACATAACAATTGCGTCTTGTAGGCTTGCAACACATCCTCAAATCTCCTTGCGTTCTGTGTAATAGCGTTCACCATTCGTTCAGTCTTTGCATGGTCTCCCCCGATGAAGGCCATTTCGGCGGCTGCGTTGTGAAGGTGAAGGCTGAGATCATATTGGTCACCCCACAAACCGTCCCCTAGCAAAGAGATACCGGTCTCAAAGTAGCAACATGCGGCGGAGAAAGCAGAGCCCTTTGCGATTCTTCGTCCTGCTTCGAGACAGAGCCCCGCCAGCTTGAGCCGGCAATCCTCCACTTCAATTGCCTCGCTCCCGTTGATCGAATGATTGACAATCAAAAGCAAATTGGTGGAGAACTCATCCGGTGTCGCCTCTTCTGCAAGATTCTTGGCAATCTGTAGATGCAGTGCGGCTTTTTCATTTTCAGGGATGAGAGACTGCGTCGCTTCGATGTGTTTGTCATGTACCCACTGCCCCTTGCGCTCTTGTTCGTCGTATACGGCAAACTCCAAGTCGGAAGCGACTTTCAGGACGCTAAGGACTTGTGGCAGAGAAGCCCGGGCAGCCTTGGAGAGCACGTCCCTGTGGAATTCAACTCCCAAACATGACGCTACCTTTAGGATTTCTTGCGTTTCTGTTGGTAGCTGACGCACCTTGTTTGCCAGCAGAGAAACAAGAGACTCTTCTGAATCTGACGAGGCAGTATCGCGTTCGACTAATCTCGCTGCAATGGCCCCAGCATTCCAATCCCAATCCCCGTGTAAGTTTCGGAACAGGGATCCATCTTCTTGGAAACTCCGTAGCAAGTGCAGAGTGAAGAGAGCGTTCCCTTGTGTTTGTTTGTAGATTAGTTCTACCATCTGCTCGCATTCTTGTGAGGGAGGGATCATGAGTAGATCTGCAACCATATCACAGAGGGCTTGCTTGCCCAGGTTGCCAACTCTGATGTCTGTGATGGTACAGTCTTCCGAATCTTCAATGCCTCTGAGCATGACTGACAGTGGGTGATCAACGGCTACCTCGTTGCCACGACAGCTTCCCAGGCACATGAGTCCTGAGGAAAGAGTTGCACCATGGGATGGCCCCTCTTCCCCGTCGAGACCCGAACTGTTTGCGTATTGTTGAATGGTAGCTTCGATGAGTGCCAGTGATCCTTGATCAGTCCATTGCATGTCATCCAAGAACCATACGATGGAATGGTGACAGGAGATGGCCCTCATGAAGCGGACAAAGGAAAGAGCAATTCTTCGCTGCGCATCTGGTGGCTTCTCAGTGTCAGTAGCGGCGGTCCCATTCTCTTGTGCATTGTCAACGGAAGATTCTGGTTTACCAAGTTCTTGTTGTACTGACAATAGTTGGCGCAGAGACGGAAAACTTTCGGCCAATATGGCGGCCTCCGATCCCACTGCTTCTGTTACCCGTGCCTGCATAGCTTGGAAGGTCTGCTCAGGTCGACTCTTGAGTTGTTGCATCAGTTCCCGAAAGGCATCTTCCAATGCAGCAAAGGGCCTTAGTTGGCTGTGCAACTGGTTAAACTTGCCAGTGATAAAGAATCCTCCATCTTGCTCTACTCTGGGACGTAGGGATCTTGCCAAGTGACTCTTGCCTTGTCCACTCTTGCCTGTGATAATGACGAGCTCGGATGCAGCCTTTTTGGTATTTGCTTGCCTTGTGCGCCGATGATAAGCCTCCAAAAGTTGCTTCTCTTGGGCTTCGCGGTCGTACAGTTTGTTGCATATGGGACTGCATCGATATCGCGACTCTATACCGGTACGAGGCATGCTTGAGTGCCTTCCAAAGGTTGGCAGTTTTATCTTTTCGTCCTTCTCTTCTGATTCAGCATCCACTAGTGTCTTGAGCTGAGGAGCCACCCCAGCAGACCGGTACGCCTCACTCTTGAGCACTGGAAGCTCTTCGGCGGCGGTTCCCGACATTTGTTTCGTGGGGAGCAGATTATCTTTCGCATCAGCAGCTCCCTTATTACTGCCAATGTTATCAGGGGTCGTCGATGGATTGCCACACATTCTTCTCTCTCGTTGGGTATTTTTCCCAAGTTATCTGGGGCTCTTTTATGTTTTATGAACTCTGTCGACTTCGGAACCACCTGTTCCTGCTCTTCTTCGTGGGGCTGCTCTTATAAAAAAAGTTCACGGTGGGTTTTTTGTGTCTCCGTTTTATTTGGCCAGCTACGTGGACTGCAAAGCAAACATGATTGAGGATTTGGGTGTTGGGTGTGGTGGTCGATTGTCGAACTGGCTACTACTAGCTAGCTAGGAGCATTAGGAGAGTGACGAGTGACTCAGTCAACTACATACAACATTTAGACTAATGTAACAGGACACAGGATAACAGGACATCCATCCGATGGGTGACTGTACGGTACCGGTACCAGTACTAGCTAGAGCTAGTACATGTAATACTGGGGGGAAACACATCAGCAAGTGTTATGTTCCGTGAGGCTTATGTTCCGTGAGGCTTGGATTCATGAATGAATCGAATCGGCGGTAGCCACCGGTACCACCAGTTGTCAGCACTTGTTAGCGTCCATTACCAGGACACTCCAACCTCACTTATAAGAAGCTTATAAATTCAGAGCACCCGTGGGGGTTTCTTATTAGTGTGCTGCAGCATTTCAGACCCTCAGATTGTTTCGAACAAAACAAGCCAATTTCAGTATAGAAAAATCTCTTACTACTCATTTATTTCTTCTTTTGTCTTGCTATACAGTCCATTTCCAACTGCAGCTTGTTGGCTAGTCTGTTGAGCACAAATTCCTGTTCGGGTGTGATGATGGAGACAACTTGCCCTGAAGCACCAAACCGTCCTGTTCGGCCGGACCTGTGAACATAGCTGTCGGCATCCGGAGCTAGATCCAACTGAATGACGTGGGTAATGTCTTCAATGTCCAACCCTCGGGCTGCCAGATCGGATGAAAACAGGACACGCATCTTGCCATTGCTTTCCTGGAAATCTTCTCCTCTTTGACCATCGCTACTACTACTGTAACCCTTCCATTGGTGGCTATTGATGGGCTTGTTGGCTCCTCCTGTAAATCCTTGAATGGCAGCAGCTCGCTGGGAAAGGCTGTCTTCGTACCTCAGCACACTCACAACAGCGGATGCTTCAGCTTCTTCGCTTGGTCCATGCACTTCTTTCCAAAGTAGTCCCTCCAAATCCTTGGCCACCACTTGTGCCATTTCTTCCATTGGTCGTTGTGGTTCGGTAAAAATGAGCACTTTTTTGCTGGTGCCCTGTGCCTGTATCTTTTTCAAAATTCTCCGGAGTGCGGCCAATTTTTTCTCGCTGGATGCACACACCATGTACGCATGATCCAAAGTGGGTGGCATCAATTGTTCTCCTTGTCTCAGACAAACATGTTTTGGATTTTTGGATAGGATCCACTGATTTTGAACACATTGTTTCATAAAGTGACGGTGTTGTGGAATAGTGGCGGAGCAGAAAATGGTTTGTCGCGTGTTGGAAAGGGGTCTTGGAGTTGTCTTTTTTCGTGTGGGTAGGACTCCAGCTTCTTGGCCATCCATCGTTGCCGCGTCGCCACTGGTGTCGCCATCATCATAGGTTGGACTGAGATGTTTGGATAGTAGTTCGTGCAGAGACGACGACGACAATTTGGATGACAAGGTTCCAGCATTATTGAGCAAACATGCATCTACCTCATCGACGATCAAGTATTTGACACTGTTGTAGCGTTTGATGCCTCCAAAGCGTACCATGTTGCATAGTTCTTCGGGTGTTCCAATGACAACTTGTGGTGGTTCAGCCCAAGCCCAGGCTCTTTGTCTTCTATTTTGGCTTCCTTGGAGCACAGTCATGATCATGATTTTATCACTATTCTGACTGGTGGTTGTGGTTTGAATGAGAGCGCCTTCGTCATTATCTGAAGTTTCCATTGTTTCATCATTGTGGCTATTATTATTGTCATCAGAGGAAGTCTTGGCAGCCAACCGTTTGGCGACTCTCCCCACTTGCAATCCCAATTCTCGCGAGGGTACGACAATGAGGGCTTGTACAGCGGCCCTGGATGGATCCACATTGGCCAGAATGGGTAGCAGAAAACTCAGAGTCTTTCCACTTCCTGTTTGCGCCTGAATGACGGCATCTTCTTTATCACGGAGAATGGTGTCCAGTGCTTCCTTTTGAATCAGAGTGGGCCGAGTCCAGCCACAGTCGTTTAATCGGTTCAACAACCACGGAGGGAGCACATCGCCGTACAACTCCGAAAATGTTTCGTCGACAAGTCGGGCATCATTCTCCCATAACGATGAATCTTCGCTGCTGCTCGATGATTCCTGGGTTACATCCGCTGCGACCCTTACTCGACTCGTCGTTACCGGTAGCGACTGTTTTAGACCGTTGGAATTTAATTTGAGGACAGAAAAAGCAGCTACCCGAGGAGGAAAAATCAAAAGGCAGGAAAGAGATAACGCAATGAAGAGCGCTAAGCCCGATCTTGTCGACCAGTGCATCTTGGAACTCATTCTCAACAGGATGACAAGCAGAGGGATCATGATTATCATTTCTAGAAGTGGCAAGCCAAAGTTTTTCTGAGGAAAAAAGGTTTGACGATGGAGCTTGGGTGGTTTGGCTTCCGTTCGGTGGTGTCAAAAAACTGCGGCGGCCAGGCAAAATGACGTCAGTCAGCTGCGAAAGTGAGCGTTCAAAGTTTTCATCTCATTTTTTTGCTGCACCTCCAACCTCCGACGAGCACTTTGATTCTTTCTCCCTTCGCTTGGGTTGGTGTATGATATCATTTCACAATTATTGCATCTCTACATCATCAGATCACGAACACTATGAATCCAATTGGACATCATTATCTACTTGTATTGATCTTCCTTGGAATTTGTGTTCCCAAGAGCACGGATGGATTTGTCGTCACTCCCTTTACTCGATACCAAGTCGTCCCCAAACCGTCAAATCATCCATCCGCTTCCACCAGCACTACTACTAGTACTAGCCTCACAACTTCTGCCACTGGTTCCATTACGACTGCTGGCGAGCAAGGGCCGGATGTTAAGGGACTAAAACGAAAGCTTACAAAAGAATTCCTTTCGATTGGTGCTCCTGCTTTTATTCAGGTGTGACATGCCATGCAAAAATTAATTGATCTTGTTGCCACACCACAACCACTCATGAATTTGCAATCTGACCATGGCTCATCGCTTCCCTTCTTTGTATCATTATCGGTAGTTAGCAGCAGAGCCTCTAGCTGCACTTGTAGACACGGCATATCTAGGTACGAAATTGGGCACTTCTCTTGAAAAAGTATCACAAAAGATTCTGCACAGTTGCCCGACACTAATCTTCATCATGCTTGACTAATAATACCCGTTTGGCAGGACGACTTGGGCCAGAAGTTCTAGGTGGTGCAGGAGTGGCAATCAGTGCGCAATATGCAGTTTCAAAGCTATACAATGATCCACTGCTGAGAACAAGTATATCCATGGTAGCCTCCAAAGATGGACAAACCAGAGGAAAAACACCCAGCGAAAGCGACCGGGAATCTTTGAGCATTGAAGTTTCATCGGCATTGCTATTGGCATTTGTCGTTGGAATCATTCAACTGTTCGTGTATACCGTACTCGCAAAGGGCATCACATTGGGAATGGGAGTTACAGAAGCTTCGCCAATGTGGCACTCGGCAGTTTCCTACTTGAGAGTTCGAGCTTTGGGGACTCCTGCAGCTACCCTTTGGCTGGTGACCAATGGAATCTTCAGAGGCCTTGGAGACACGCGAACGCCCCTCTTTTACTCTCTTTTGTTCACGGGTCTCAATGCCATTCTGGATCCTCTTTTTATTTTTACCTTTCATTTTGGAGCATCCGGTGCAGCTGCGGGAACTGCCATTGCCCAGTATGTGGCGTTGGTGCCACTCATGTTGGCGTTGAACCGGAAGGTCAAGATTGATATCATTGGCCAGCTGTCCAAGTTGGGAGATTCTCTCAAGTCGTATTTGAGTGCGGGAAGCCTCGTCCTAGTCAGAACACTAGGGAAGGTCTTTGCATACTCGGTTTGTGCCAGAGAAGCGGTATGTGCTGTTTGCTGTTTGCCTCTTTGCATGTTGTACTTTCTGGAGATTGAACCAATCATTCAATGATTCGATTCCATCATCTGTGCTGTTCTAGCGACCCTACTGACTCACCCTTCTCGCATCAACCAGGCTTTGTTGGGGCCCGTAGCAGCTGCAGCTTATAACCTCACCTTTCAGTTGGGATTTGCCACAACTCAAATCTGCGAGTCAGTGGCAGTGGCGGTACAAACACTCCTGGCGAGAGAACTGGCGGACACCACGACATATCCACAGCCGGTGCGTCGTCAGCTTATCCGGCACCTGATCAACACTTCCATTCTTATAGGCGGTGGAGTTGCGGGTTTACTTTCCCTGACAACGTTCTTCCAAAGAGACTCCATTCTCAGAGGCTTGACAAGCAACGCTGCTATTCGCGATGCCTCGGCGGCTATCTTTCCTGTAGTTCTCGTCACACAAACACTCAAGGGTAAGTCTTGCATGCATGGACGTTGGGATTGACTGTGTCTTTGACTCGGTCATAATGCTGACCTTCATTGTGCTACTTCCATTGATTCTACCAATAGGACTTGCATATCCCGTGAATGGTAAGAGCTGCTTCCACTGCTGTCTTCCTTTGACTCTAATTGATTGATCGATATCAAACCCTGACCACGATGTGTTTGCATGCTTGACTCGACTCTGTTGGTACTAGGAATCGTCATGGGAGGCTTGGATTGGATCTTTAGTATGATTGCAATGTGGACTGCCAATTTTGCCTGCGTTGGCTTGGTGCGGTTCTTTGCCATGAATGGAACTGTCGGCCTCGGCAAGATTTGGTGGGCCCTGGCAGCATTTATGGGGTGCCAAGTGGTCACAGGCATACTGCGAGTTGAGAGCAAAACTGGAGTCTGGAGAGCGCTTAGAAAAGAAGAAACGTAGCTAGCAATAAACATCCCGTACGTATACTTGACAAGTGCGGAAGATTCTGGTCTAAGGAGTTTCGTCCCTCGTGGGCAAATTCCGGCAGTGCCCCAGCCTTTGCCTCTCTCTAATTATCAAGGTCTGCCTCTCGATTACTCTACTATAGTCAATGCAAGCTAAGATTGGTATCTAGAATCACATGTTGCGTTCCCAATTCTGATCCTGTCAATGGACCCAACAGTTCTGTCTGCGGTTGTGTGCGGTGTGCGGGATGCAGAGATGTTGACCTGGTGTCGTTGTACTACAGTTTTGGAAGGCTTTTAAAGAGCCGTTTGAAGGCTTATGAGCCGTTATTAGTTAAATCTGTGGATGCCAATATGTCCCTGCACTCCAACCTCCAAACAGATTTGGATGGTCCCTCGCAAAACACAAAGCCATCTGGAGTGACAGTCCATCACAGCACATGGATGTCGACGATGGCATCCTCTGTGACGACGAAGCTCCCAGCAGCAGTACGCAAGCTGTGTCAACATGGAGTCGAAGCCCTGAAGCCTCAGCTCATCAAGAATTCCAATACTCGGCTGTCTCAACATTGGAATCCACCCGCCATTCCGAAAAGGAGTCAGAGCATGCTTCGAAAGAGGGCAGTGAGAGAAGGAACGTACGGAAGCTTTGATGCAACAACTGGAAAAGGATGGGACCCTGCTTGGGATATTGAACTTGCCAAAACTGGAAATGGCGGTGGCAATGGCCGCATTCGGCTTCGTCCCAACAAGAAGACATCTCGCGACCGCACTCGTGAGCAGCGAGCTCAAAAGATCGAGAAGACTATGGAGGATATGGATGAGCAGATTGCTCAGTACTACATGGACAGGAAGGCTGAGAAGCCAGTCAAAGACTTTGAATGGTACTTCAAAAAGCACACCAGAAGGAAGTAGACAAACATTATCAGCAAGAATTGAGAGGAAATTAGTTGCTTGCTGACTAGCCACCGTACAGAAGCGCAGAGCCAAGAAGAAAGGGATCCGCTACCGTGGCTAGCTAGCTATGAATTGTAGACCGCATATCGATCACCATTCAAATTCTAGCTACGCAATACGACTGTATTAATTTTAATCAGACATCAAGTCTAGCTAGGCTACTGTTAGTTTCGCTATGCCATACCGTAGCCAACTGGATTGCTCAATCTCTGACCCCCATCTACCGTGCCTATGGCAAGGTGATCTCTTCTACTGCGACTATTTTGCTTCGTTCAGGTTCCAACGATTCCCATCGTCATCCGTGTCCGAGGAGTTGTACGTGTAAGCGTTTGTCTTTCTCGATGCCGACAGTTGATTGATTGTCAGGGTGCGCTCCTCAATTCTTTCTTCGTAGAGTCTATTCCGCGCCGAGAGCTGTTTGATAGTGTTTGTCATTTGCTCCATGCGGAGTGCATTTCCCTTCATTTGTCCCATGTGATTATGAATGGCCGACCGCATCTCTTTCTCATGTCTTTGCTTTGTTTCTTGGATCGTTTTGTCACATTTCGATTCCATTTGGTTCGCCCAGTGCAAGGATTGCGAGTTGGTATTGACGACCTGCTGCAATTGTGCGTTTGCTTGGGAGAATCGCATGTTGTGGAAGCTATTCGCTTGTTCCGCTTGTTGCAGGGCCATCTGTTGGTTTGTGTTGGTAAGGGTCAATATTTTATTCTGCGACTCAAGACGTTTCACCTGTGCTAGAGCCTCGGCCCTGGCGCTGGTCACTTGCTTGAGCCTTTGTTCAAGCTCGATAACGCTATTGAGCTTGTTGTCGTACATGTTGTTCACTGTATCGTTTCTGGATCCGAGATCTGTTCCTCGCGCTCGGAGCTCCTGGTTGGCTTGTCGGCTCTTGGACAAGAGATCTGTGAGCTCTGCAATCCTGGCTGCTTGTTGTTGCTGGTGAGAGGTGGAGACATTGGCAGGATTGTTCGCAGGATATTGAGGCAGTCCATCAGATTTTGTAAATTGGATAGCTTCTTGCTTGGCTGCTTCCAGTCTGGCCTCTAGATCTTGAATAGTGTACCTGTCCGAAGATCGTTCGTTAAAGTGCTGGCACTTGAGTATCAAGATCTCATCTGCAATTGCGGTCACAAAGTTGCAGTAAAGGTTGCTTTCTTCATGGAGGAGTGCGGCACATTCAGCGTAATCTGTGTCTTCCTTTGGGACTCGTTTCAAGAGCAATTTTCGTATACGCGATCGGACTGGCAAGTACCTGCCCTGAGCCACGTCCACCCGTGCCTTGTCGTCGTCACTAATATCGAACTGCTGTAGCTTCTGTGTCATTTCGTTATTCTTCTGTTCGAGGTTCTGGGTATATTTCTTTTGGTGTGAGAGTTCTAAACTCTGGGCCTTCAATGCGGCAGCTGTTGCTTGTAATTCAGTATTTTTGGCCTTCAACAAGTTGCATTTTGCTTGCAGTTCGTTGTTTTTTGCCTGCAATTCCCTGTCTTTTTGTTTGAAGATACTTTGGATACTGGTCTCCAGATCACCCAATCGTTCCGAAAACCAACGAAGCAGTAGTTCCTTTTGCTGTTCCAACCCCTGATTATTGTCGTTTTCTTTTACTTCTTTTTGTAAAGGATCTGCCTGTTTGCTTCGTTCGTGGACCATTTTGTCGAGATCTGAATTCACCATTCCCAGTTCTTCTCGGTAGAAATTATTGATGAAGGCATCATCGTCCACTAATTCTTCTTTTGCGTCCTCTTCTAAACGTGCACGTTTTTGGGGTGGCTCTACGCCGTTATCGATGGCAGAAGTAGACGAGTCCTCAATCAGATCAATGACATCGCCATTGTTGCTTGTGGGATGTTTCCTCTTGAAGTTTTCGTTGGCCTTTCGCCGAGCATTTTTTCGAATCATTCGCGACAGCGTGGAGGAAAGCTCGGATTGAAGCGATGGTGAAATGCTGCTGTGCGAAGTATTCTTGGAACCGTTGGCTGAAGTTCTGCTTTCATTATTGAGCATTGACAGAAACAATTCTTGACAGTTGGGGATCCCACACTCTGATGTGGCAACCGTGTTGAGTGGCAACTGCTTCGCAACGCCATTGCCAATAGAGCCATTCATGGTGACTCCATAGGGTTTGACTCTGGGGCTGGAACTCGTCGTCGTTGTCGACATTACGGAACGTGACAGGATAACCAAGGCCCACCTCGATCTGTTCTGTTCTTTGCTCGCTGTTGGGGTGTTGAGTTGTTGTCACTACGGTACTTGAGATGTCGGTTGTGATCGATCAAGTTTTCACGGAAACGAACCCAAATCGTTGCCAGAAGGCAAACTAGCCAGCAAAGCTAACCGAAACCCAGGCCATCGCACCCTGTTTAGACTAATCATCTGTCTGAAACGACAATACCGTACTCGTACCTCCCCACAATAGAGCCATGAAATAGCTGTCAAGGACAACCATCATCTGTCTACTAGTACCTGATATTTCATTTGCTTAGTGCTTCCACAGCAGACCTGAAGTCCGGTTTCCCTATTCGTTTGTGGCTAAAGCAAGGCAATAAGCAACCCACAACCTTTCCAAATGTGTGATTTGAAAATAATTACCAACCATTATACAGTTTACGTATGTTACTTTGATGTACAGAGTCATTCATTCACCCCGAATGTTCATTATTTCTTTCGCGCCAACTTGGAAGTGCGTTTCTGAATGTCTTTTTCCAGGTTGAGGTCAAGCTTCGCCAGAAGGCCAAAAGTGGGCACCGGCAAACCCTTCCTTCTGGAGGACCTTCTTGTCGGAGGCCGCTTGGTGGACTTGGCACTGCGTGGGAGCTGCACCACTTCTAGTTTTTCAAGGACGCTACCGCTCCTTCTCGCCTTTCGGGGGCTTGCCATTCTGATGAGCGACTTGTCGCAGTTCGATCGCAGAGCGCGCGAGGAAGACATTGTCACCAACGGTTCTGACTGCGTTTGCGACCCCTTCGCTTTGGGCGTCTCGGCAGAAGCCGACGGGGCGTTGTTCTTTGCAGTCAAATCGATCTCAACATCGCACTTCGAATTTGAAGTCGTCTTCGTATTCAATCCTGCCAAGCAAGAAGCAGCTCGATGTTCCTGGCTCGTCCAGTCTTCCCCCTTCTCTTTCTTTGTTTCCGTTGGACGTTCCTCCCGACTGGCCTGGATTTTCCCATTGAGAGTCTCCAACTCTGCTTTTTGACGGTCGTTTTCTTTGACTAGAGTTCGCTGCGCTTCCGTCATTTCCAGCACCCGCATCGACATGCTCTGCAACTTGGTGCGATGAGCTGCTTCACTCTCCTGCAAATTGATCAACTGGGTTCGTTTCACCTTCGAATTGTCGAGTTCGGACCGGACAGTGGTCAACTGCTGCTGCAGATTGCGCTTGTCTTCTTCCCATAGACGCTCAACTCGTTTTCGCTCTGCTTCGACAGCTTCTGCCTTGTCTTTATCATGTTGCTCTTGGATCTGTTCTTGTTTGTGATGGAGCTCCTTGATTGTGGTGTCGTTTTTCAGGCAACGGACCTCCCAGGATTTGATTTGATTGGCGTGTTGTTCGTCTTTGGCTTGGATGCTGATTGCGTGATTTTTCTCCAATTCTACCATGGCACTATCCTTCTGGTCGCATTTGGCATGCCATTCTTTTTGTTGCTTGTCCTGTTGTTCGGATTGAGTCTTCATGCTGACTTCGTGCTGTTGCTTGAGATCCTGTATTGCCGTGTCCTTTTCTTGGCACTTTCGTTCCCACCCCTCGATTTCAGCTTTGTGTTTCTCTTGTTGCTGTAGCATTTCTACGCGATGGCGTTCCTTGACGGCAAACAATTCTCGCTGCAGTGACGCCACGAGATCATTCATGTTCAAATTGAAATTGGATGGCTTTATTCCCGTCTGTTGTTGGTTCTGAGGAATAAAAGGAGGAGAGCGCCATGCTCCATTTTTCGGCACTGCTTGTTGCTTTGATGGATGAGGCAACCCGAATGCTAAAGAATTCACCACCGAATGATGATTGTCACAGTGATTGCTGGGTCCCGTTCGTCTTGCTCCAAGAGGTTCTAATTCGGAATCCACGGAAGCACAACAGGATGCCGCCGGTGTGACCATGGGGAAGTCGTCTCTCTCGGCATTGGCGGAAGCAACGCTGGGAGACAGAGAAGCGGTAGAAGAGTTGTTGGAGGTTGATTCCCGTCGACGTTTTGGAGGAGGCGCAAACGAGAATGTCTCCATTTCTGCAGCAAAGGCGTTGGAATCCGACTGTCGCTTCTTTCGACGTCGAGGCTTGACCTTATGCGGCAACCGAGATTGATGAGAGAGTACCTTGTTGGCTCCGTTCTCTTGAGTGATGGGAGGCGTGGGAGTAGCAGTAGAGCCTTTGGTGCTCTCAGTCATGGGAAGGTGTTCCTGTCCATTCCCTTCCGAGCTTGTCAGCTGCTGCTGTTGTTGTTGCGGTTGTTTGTCACAGCTACTTGCTGTTGTCTCCAATCCATCGTCAGCATGGATGCTGTCGCGTCGTTGGTAACAACCAGGGTCTAGCGACCTCCGACGACGGCCGTCATGGAGTCGGGGCATGGTGTCAGCACTTCTAAACTATGTCCTCTGGTTTGGCCAATCGTTTGACCTAGTCTCGCTACGTCTTCGGCCCTACTGCTCTCACTATGATATTCTTATGCCCTGTTGTCTTCCCTGCTATGCTGTTGTTGCTTTGTGAATGTCTCGCAACCTTCCGCATCTCTTGGGCATGCAGCTCCTTTCTCGTTTGGTGTTATTGGTGAGCCCTTTCTCCTGTCAGCGATGCAAGTTTTGCTGTGTCCCACGGTCCCACTCTTGGTGACCTTAATTAAGTATTTAAAATGTGGCATTCGCAATATGCTTTAAATCTTTTTCTTTTCAAGAAGGGAAGGAAACAAGATGAAAGCAAAAAACTTCACACCACCTCCAAGGAATTTCAAACCAACGCCCGTCGACAAAATCGAGAGACCATCGATGATCGAAAGATCACACCGTGGCACGTGATCGGCACAAACAGGAGAACGACGGCTGCAAACACAGGACCGCCAAAAAGCAGGACAATAAACATACATGCATTAATATAGATTACGAAATTGGAGCGCCCACCAGCGTCGCAGCTTTGCATGGTCCTTTTGTGGTGATGATTGTCTTTCCTTGCCATGTCGCGAGTCCTCCGTCTGCCGTCTTCAATTCCTTTGCAACCGCGTCCATCGTCTTTTTCTTCTTTGTCTGTGCAGAGGAAAGAGGCTCGAAGGTACCTTCTAATCCTTCCAATGTGACTCTCTCGCCGACTGGGGCGTCCTCGGGGGGACATACCAATTCGACCTTGGCCCCGTCCTCGCCCTGTAAAACAAACACGTCTACTTGGTGAGTATCGTTCCACGACAATGTCTCCGTCATGCATCATCAAAGGAAACTTCAAGTATGTTGTTGAAGAAAACGGTACGTACCTTTGCCGCCAATACCATCCCGTTGCTCGAAAAGCCAACAATCTTGGCAGCTTTCAAGTTGCAAACCACCAACACCTTCGTATCCTGCATTTCCTCCAGTGTGTAGTGGCCTCGCAGGCCAGACGCAATCTGACGAGGGCCGCCTTCCTCCGCCAGGTCGATCTCCTCGCAGAAAAGTTTGTCGGCCGATTCGTGATTCCAAACCTTGACAATCTTCCCAACGCGAATGTCGAGCTTGGTGAATTCGGGTTGATTGGGGTCGACGCCCTCCTGGGCTTTTCTAGAGTTTGCAATGTCCTGGAGCTTCTTTTCCTTTTTGCGCTTCTGGGCGTCGGCGTAAGATTCCTTCTTTTTGGCCGCTGCCGCGGCAGCATCCTTGATTTCATCCTCCGACAACGATTTTTCGTACAACACGCCGCCCGCAACCACTTTGGTACCAGCTGCCAAGAATTGGCCGGGGGTTGCTGCGTGACGCTTTTTCAGTTCCACCAGTGAGATTGGATCGGTGTTGAGCTTTTTAAAGATTTCCTTGGCACCAATGGGCAAGAATGGCAGCAAGAGATGCGTAAAGGCGTAGATTGCTTCCAAAGCGGTACGGACAACGGTTTGCCGTTTCACCTTGTTCTCGTCTCCCTTCAACTTCCATGGTTCTTCCTTTGCCAAATAACCGTTAATGTCACGGAACCCTTGGATGGCAATCTGAGCACCGGAATGGAGTTCTAACAGCTCCATTTTTGCTCGGTAGGTGTCGATGATATCGCCCAGCTTCTCCAAGAACTCGGGAAGAGTTGATGACATGGGAATATCGGGAATTACCCCATCACAGAAATCCTTCTTTCCACACAAGGTTGTTGCACGATGCACACCATTTCCAAGAGTATCGCAGAGGTCGGAGTTGTGAATATCTCGCACGTTGTCTTCCGAAAAGGACAGCTCTCCTCCGTACGGTGCTTCTTTGCTCAGATACCACCGGAATGTGTCGACGTGGAACTTGTCCAGCATATCGTGGGGATCTACTACATTGCCCAAACTCTTGGACATTTTCTTTCCGTCCTTGTCGTTGACAAATCCATGGGCGTATACCTTTTTGGGCAAGGGCACTTTGGCACTGAACAAGAGGCAGGGCCAGATGACTGTGTGGAACCAAAGAATGTCCTTTCCGATAATGTGTACCGATGCTGGCCAGAAATGTGCCAGGTCGTTGTCCTCCAAACCAAGTGCGTTGACGCCTGTGAGGTAGTTTGTCAAAGCATCCATCCACACGTACATGACATGATTCTCCTCAAAGCCCTCGGGGACTTTGATTCCCCATGAGAAGGTGGCCCGACTAATGGACAAATCCCGAAGATCATCCGATTTCAGCCGTGACAGAATCTGGTTTTTGTGCTGGGTTGGACAAATAAAGTCAGGATTGACGTTTTCAATGTAGTCGATGAGTCGATCCTTGTATTTGGACATTTTGAAAAAGTAAGAAGCTTCCTGAACCTTTTTGAGAGGTTTGCCCGATGCTGGATCCAGATAGTTGCTGAGAGCAGCATCATTTTCAGTGACAAAGGTTTCTTCTCGGACGTTGTACCACCCTTCGTAGGTATCCAAGTAGATATCTCCTGCTTCGTTGACTTTTCTCCACAATTCCTGTGCTGTCTTTTTGTGGCGGTCGCTCGTCGTCCGAATGTAATCATCGTTGCTCACTAGAGTGCGCTGATTTAGGTTCTTAAATCCGAGCACAAACTGGAATGGAAATAGAGAAAGGGGAATCGGTGAGCCCACACAAAGCAAGATATGAGACATTCCCATCTATATTTCGTCCTGAGAAGCGTACCTTATCACACAAATCAATGGGTTTTTGACCAGCTTCTTCGGCAGTTGTCGCAATCTTTTGTCCGTGTTCATCCGAGCCCGTGACAAAGTAGACTGACTGATCTCCGCAAAGACGGGCGAACCGTGCAATCACATCACTGGTAGTTCCTTCATAAGCGTGGCCCATGTGAGCAGGTCCATTGGCGTAGTTGATGGCAGTGGTGATGTAGAAAGATTTCTCTTTGGAGCCCGATCCACCCGTCTTGGATAGAAAGCCATAGTCAATTGTACTTTCGTCTTGGAGAGTCCAGCGATCATGAGCTTCCTTGGGAGCCGGGGTGTCCTTTTCTTTGGGCTTTCCTTTTTGTTTGCCGCCTCCCTTTGGCTTTCCAGCTGGAGCCTTGGCTTTCTTCGCTGGGGCCACACCCATCAACATCAAAGAGGTGGCAAGTTCATCGACAGCCAAATCTGCCGCTCGTGAAGTCATGATAGTGCTATTCAACTGACTGGTACAGCTTTGCTTGTTGTGATGCAGGTCTTCTGCTACAGTTTCTCTTTTGCTTGGGTTGATGCAACAGTAATGGCAACCTGCCGAGAGAAGAAGAGCTTTTGGCGTTTGGGTCAATTGGGGTAGGTTTCAACATCAAGAGATTTTGCGGTTGCCCTTCATTCCCGTGAGAATAAGGGTACGGGTCTCGAACGCGCGTTAGAAATAGGGATACGATTGAGGAGTTCGAGGTCCAGCAAATCCCTGATGACTGCGTCGAATGAATTCAAAGATGAACAAGTAGAGATCATACAGCCCTGCACTCACTTCCTCTAGCTACCGGTAGCTACCTGGTAGTAGAGAACGATACTGTTTGTCATCCTTGGAATCAGTGGCGGAGGGCTGCAACTAAAGACGGGTTTCGTTACTGTACTTTGGGCGGTACAAGTGACACTCCTCGGCGATTGTAGCTACTTCCAAGTCACAAACCTTCGCCTAACGCTGCCAGTGGAGCTAAAGTACAATGTTTCCTTGTAAGGCTTGAGTTAAAGTGCAATGTTTCATCGAGGGGCAGAACTAGTTTGCGCTCTTGTACCGGTCGCGACCTGCTGCTTTATCATCACAGGTGAGGCAGAGGCTTCCTGAGGAAACCAACCTGAAAGTGGCAGACAGTTGACGTTGGCAGCCCCAGCCGGTACATTGCAGTGATAAATCCTGGAAGATCGATTCCTATCAAAGATACCTGTATGTCTGCGAAAGCGGACTCGCTCCCTGACATCAGCTCCCGCAAAGATTCTTGCAAGATTGAAGGTAATGTTTTGTTGGTACCAGCTGCTAGGGACTCCGGGAGACAAAGTCATCAGATTCCAGACCTAGCTAGATTGTGGTTTCATCCTCCTTGACGTTGCAGTGATTTGCCAGAAGCGTAGCTTTTCGAGGCTCCAGAACTCGGTTGGGATGATGATTCGATTCAACTATGAGCAGTTGCGCATAGCACCTGCATCTGACATGCACTGGGGTAGGGTATTCTTGCGCGCGTCAAGTAAGGGGCCAAGTAAGGGGCGCATTGGGAATGCCTTGGTTCTTTGGTACTTTTTACTTCAAGGGGGGAAAGATTAGTTGCGGATGCACACCTCCAAACTCACGCGATCTTCTGTCCGGAGGCTTGAACTCTCTTGATAAAGCACCTGAAAGCGAAAGACAAAAGAGTTGATGAGAACCAAGCAGAACACATACTAAAACTTCGATAGGGAACCCACGGGGAACAATCTGTGCCGTTCTCCCCCACTCGTCCCAGCACGAAGACTCTTTGGCTTCATATTGTAAGCACTGCCAGAGCAGACCGAAAGACTGCGCAAAAGAAACCCCTTTTTGTCAGCTCTGGCACTGCTTACAGTATGAAGCCAAAGGACGGCGGGACCTTTTGTCAACCAAAGCTTCTCAGTTTGTGTGCAATGGACGCCGCAGCTCTTGACAGGCGCCCCACATCTTCATCTCCTTCATGGTCGTAGTTGTAAGCCGCAAATCTGGGGTAGTTCCTCGTTCAAAACTGAAATTCCAGCAAGGGCAATGGGATCCGAAGCATATCCACCAATCCAAATGAGCGCAGACGGCGAGAATTGAGGAACTTTGGTTTTCCCAATGACACTCAGTGTCATGTCATCAGTGGTAAAGACGGATCTTTGTTCTCTTGCTGGATCCATTACACGCTCGCACGGTGACTCACGACGACGTGCGTTGCGTGTTCATGGCAAAGGGTTGCTGCACAGATGTAAAGTAAAGATCTTCTCAGCTCGAAATCCACAGTACCAAGGTAGTATCAGCTCTACTTGCTTATTATGTTGTTGGATGGAATCTTTCGCGCGATTACATGTAAGAAAGGCATCATTCGTTTCCCGGATTTTTACTTGTTTGGTAAGACTTAAAGAATGCGGTCCTCTCACGTCTAAATACAGGTCACTCACTTAGGAGAGACTGTGACTGATTCCAAGAGCATCGACGTCAGCCTCATTTTTGCCTCAAACCAGCGGCGCCGTGCCACCACAATGGAGTGGTGGATGTGCTCTATCAGTTCACAATTCACAATTCCTCGAACGTTCAACAGAAATACAGAAATCACTGGAAGGACCATCATCAACAATCATGAAGTTCAGTGCTCAAGCTTTCCTCCTTGCTACTAGTCTCGTTGCCTTGACTTCCACTGAAGCTTTTGAGAAAAAAGTAGGCTCAGAAGAGAGACGTCTCCATGGGTAAGTCTCCAGCCAAACGATGATGTATCGAGCAAGTGCTGACCTATCCGCATGTACGATGTACGATTAAACACTTACTCGCCATTTTTGTAGCTGGGGGATGAGTGTCGAAGAATATGAAGATCGCTATGCGAGTCTGTACTGCAGATGTTGCGGAAGCGAGCAAGAATCGCGTAGTGTTAATTCAACTTTGGTGCCCGCTTGTGCAGCTTTTGAGGGAGAGTCTTGCCGATGCCCCGTCCGCGAAGAAGTCGGAAGCGCTTGGTGGAACTTCTTCAGCATTGACTTTCAAGGCCGCTGGAACGAGTCTTGCGTCAATGAAATCCTGCCCAGGTCCAACCTCACATTTGCGGTCCCTCCAACCGTAGACGTCCTTGATGGTGGCGTTGCGATCATGGCCAAAAACGGAGGAGCTTGAAGCAAGTACCAGCAAATTCGGTTGTGCTACGCAAATTGGCGAGAGCGGTTCCCAAAGTCTGGCTTGTACGTCGGAGTACACAGCTTAGATGACGATTGTTGCACTTTACTGCAGCTGGTGTTGTAGGAGAGAGTCACATGAATTTTACTGTTGTCAGGACAATAGATGAAGACAACTATACTAGGTTTTAAACATTGACAATATAAACTGTACCGCCCTATTGGAACGATGCGGTTCCGTACCGGTACCAGCAGCACAAGTAGATGTTGGCTGGAGCTCGAGGATCAAGCCCACCAGCTTCCTAGTGGCAAGGCAGCTTAATGCTGTCTACCTCAGTGGATTCTCAGCGCCGCTCTCGTAAACTTAGGCATCTGCACTTTCCGTCTCCATCTTGCCGCCGCTATCGTGATCAGCTGCCTCACCGTCGTCTGCAGCGGCGACATTTTCGTTCCCGCCGAGCTCTTCTTCACTCTTGCCCATGGGTTCTGCAGCTACGGATTCAGTTCTTGTCGCCTCGGTATCAGCAGATAGTCCCTCTTGCAAGACTTCTGCAGCTATTTCGTTGCCACCAGACGACGGCTCCTCCTTGGCTTGTTTCGGCGTTGCCTGCACCATAGATGTTCTCACGCCTGATGGATCCTCGCTTGTTTCTGTCGACATTGTGGATTCTCGAACGCCTCCTGGATCTTCGCCAGCTTCAGCTTTTGCTGTCTCAATCATTGATGTTCTGACACCCGATGGATCCTCAGCTGGGTCTGCCGAAACCATGGACTCTCGAACGCCTCGAGGATCTTCACCAGGCTCTGCTTGTCCTGTCTCAGTCATCGATGTCCTGACCCCAGCTGGATCCTCAGCTGGGTCTGCCGAAACCATGGACTCTCGAACGCCTCGAGGATCTTCACCAGGCTCTGCTTGTCCTGTCTCAGTCATCGATGTCCTGACCCCAGCTGGATCGTCGGATGGTTGAGCTGCTGAACCCGTTGATTCTCCTCGAACACCACTGGGTTCCTCGGCTGCTTCCTGTTGAGCCTCCCTAGTCGTTGATGTCCTAACTCCAGATGGATCCTCAGCGGGTTCTTTTGCCTGGGCCAAGAGCACGGATTCCCTCAGACCCTTAGGATCTTCTGCCTGTTCGACTGGTTCTAGTTCGCTCATGGATGCCCTGTGTCCCTCGGGGTCTTCAACAGGTTCTGCCTTGATCATGGACTCTCTGACCCCCTTTGGGTCTGCTGCAGGCTCTATCGCCACCTCTTCCTGTTTCATTTTGGTGGATTCCCTGCCGTCTTTGGGATCATCGACCTGGTCCTCCTCCTCCTCTCCGCCCTTTTCGTCAGATTCATGAAGGCCTTTGGGGTCTTCTGCATTGGAAGCGGCGGCTGTGGCTGCGAGAAGAGCCAGCTTTTGAGCTTCATTTTGTTCCTCTAGTTCCTTTATCCTTGCTTCAAATTCAGCCTTTTGCTTCTCAAGTGCGAAATTCGTAGCTTGGTGCGTCCCTTCCGGTTCTGCCGCATCGGGGTTGGAAGTGGGAGCAGCTCCAATGTATGGTTTTTCATCACTGTCATCTTTTGTTACTTTCTGCTCCTCCTCGACAACTTTTTCATCGTCTACAACATCCACGGGTCTTTCCATGTCAGCATCGGGTGGGCTCGGCCTGGCTGCCTTTAACTCTTCAATCTCTTTGTCCTTTTGTTCAATCTGGTCGCTTAGTTGTTTGATCGTCAGAGCTTCTGCTGCAGCTGCAGTGGATGTGATGGCTGTTGCAGCTGCCAGTGCATTCTTTTGGCTCTCGTTCTCCTCTTCGACGGCCTTCATTGCATTCTTTGTTTCCTCCAATTCTTGTGCCTGTTTTTCCAGTTGCTCCTGCAACTCTTTGATCTTGACAGCTTCAGCGGCTGCTGCAGTTGTTGTTGCGGCAGCTACCCCTGTGGATGCCGCCGTTGCGGTAGCCAAAGCATCCTTTTGCTTTTCATTTTCTTCTTCGACCGACTTCATTGCGTTCTTTGTTTCCTCCAATTCTTGTGCCTGTTTTTCCAGTTGCTCCTGCAACTCTTTGATCTTGACAGCTTCAGCGGCTGCTGCAGTTGTTGTTGCAGCAGCTACCCCTGTGGATGCAGCTGTTGCGGTAGCCATTGCATCCTTTTGCTTTTCATTTTCTTCTTGGAGGGCCTGCATGGCCTTGTTTGTTTCCTCCATTTCCTGAACCTTTTTGTCGAGTTCCTCCTGCAACTGTTTGATCTTTGCAGCTTCTGCTACTGCTGCAGTTGATGTGGCAGCGGTGGCTGTTGCCAGTGCAGTTTTTTGTTGCTTGGCATCTTCTTCCGATTCTTGTAATTGCTGCTTGGTTTGCTCGAGCTCTTTCTGTTGCTCTTCAATCTTTTGATTCAACTCTTGAATCTTGGCAGCTTCGGCCGCTGCCGCCGTCGACGTTGCTGCTGTGGCAACTGCCAAGGCGTTTCGTTGCGTTTCCAATTCTGCAGCTTGTTGGCTGAATTGTGATTGTAGAGTATTTGCCTTTGCTTCTGCCGCTGCCGTGGCTTGAACCTGCTCGTTCAATTGGGTCTGCAATCTTGTGACTTGTTCGTTGACAGCCTCGTTGTTGGCCACAGGTGTTTCCACAGCGGGTTCGTTATTGTTTGCTTCGTTTTGTTGTTGTTGCTGCTGCTGAAGTTCATTCTCAGCCTTGTCGGCACGCCGAGTCTCGGCCAAGAGTTTCGGATCGGGTAAGAATCGATGGGCAAAGGCTGCCACAATGTAGACAATCTGTGCAGCTAGATTCATCCATGCAGCATCTCCCCATTCACATCCACCCAATAGACTGTCGCAGAGATCATTGCGCCGCACGAGCCACACCAGGGCTGTGCCCACTTGTGCCCCAGTGTAACCCGCCGAGATGATGGGTCCGGCACATGGAATGGGACAACAGCATTGTGTCATGAGCACCAGCAGTACCAATATAGCTCCACAGATGGGTGCGATAATGGCACAGACGCGAGCTGCCTGAACTTGCCACTCTAGGTCCTGCTGGTCGGTATTTTCATATGTTTTGCATTCTCCTCCCGTATCAAATTCGTCAGCAGGGGTACCCACCCGTTGTAGGACTCGTTCTCGTCGGGGAAAGATATCCCCTGTTGGCTCGGGTGTAGTAAATAGATTTCCTGTTGGAACGGGAGTGAAGATTCCAGCCGATGGAACATCCGTGAGTCGAGCACTGGGAACTTGGCTGGGATGTTCCGAAGGCATCTGGGAGGGTCTCATGGAAGGCAACAAGGAAGGGCTCATGGAAGGCATGGGTGTCGTTGGCGCCTCTGTGGGAAGTCCAACTGCTACTGGTCCTTGGGAAGGACTTGGATTACCAATAGGAGACGAAGTAGGACCGTTGTTGATGAAGACAGAGTATCGAAAGACTCCTAGTCTCACTTTGTAGGAAGCATCATCAGGGACATTCTGTCGCATAAATTCACAATTGGTGATCACTGCCAAATTCAAGCAGACACCTCCAACCAGCCCTCCAATCACAAGGAACTGAGATAACAGTGTCATCAACCCCATGGTGGTGAAGGGCTACGATTATGAGCTACCTAGCTATTTTAATTGCCTTGAGGGAAGTGCACTTTGTGCTTGGGGTGTGGCTCAAAGTTGGGGTGTGGCTTGTGAGACGATGAGAGATGAGAGACTGTTCTGAATTTCTGATGATTTGAAGATCTTCCTCACACTCTCGCATACAAAACTGGGTGCTACTTTGATGCAGTCGTCGCCTGTTAGAATTACCGTTTCAGGCGTTCTCAAGACTTATTAGAAGGACTTGGTTCGGAACGACGGGAGAACCACGCGAAGTGGGACTTCAACAGACCCATTATCCCTGCCCCTAAGTTCCTTATATCCATACCCCTAAGAAGATACCATTTGGCTGTAGTTGTCTGGAACGTTCCCACCTTGACTGAGTCACTCACTCGTTTTTGCACGTGATGGGCCGAAGGAACAATCCAAGGATGCGCCTGAGTCATGACAATGATATTGAATGATGATGTGTTTGTTTGATACCTTGCTTGAGGAGAGCTAGTTGATGGCTCACAATTAATTACTTTGACTCTCTAACTGAAATCCTCGTTGAGATAGCAATCACCAGCAAAACAAACAGAAACCGTTCCTTTCACTCGCTCCTTTCAGTGCACGACCAACAAGAGAAAGACCATGTGCTCCTCCGAACCCACCAACAAGCCAAAGCCCTTGCCCAAGATTCCAGAATATGGAGAATACTCCATTGATGTCGAGAACCTCACTTTTGGGTACAGCACTACCAGCTTTTCAGGCCTCTCCAAGATGGGAGACAGCCTCATTTTGAACAACCTCAACTTGAAGCTTCCCACGGGTTCTCGTTGTTTGCTCATTGGAGCCAATGGTATGTGTTTGTGTATATTTCTGGAAGCATCAGATTTGGCTCTGTCATCCAGTTACAGCGACTAATTTCTCTTTTTTCCCTCGCTATTTTCTGTGTCTTTAGGATCTGGAAAATCCACTTTGTTGCGCATTTTGTCGGGCAAGCACTTGACAAAGTCAGAAAATCCTGTCAACGGGAAACCCAGTTCCGCCAAAGTGTTGGGTCTGAATGCGTTTCATGACACACGCCTCAACTTTCACCGCACCAGCCTTGATTGTGATTGGGGAATGAGGACGGTTGCCTTTGTGGGGTGCAGTGTTCCCTTGATGGCAGATATTGCCGTCAAGAACATGATGGAAAAATTGCAACAATCCTACCCGGAACGACGTGATGAACTCGTTGAACTCTTGGGCATTGATCTCAACTGGAGGATGCACCAGCTCAGTGACGGACAACGTAGGCGTGTCCAAATCATGATGGGACTCTTGCGTCCCTTCAGGATTTTGTTGCTGGATGAAGTCACCACATCTCTGGATGTTTGCGTCAGGCAGGATCTCCTCAGATGGTTGGTGCGCGAATCGGATAAACGCCCACCTTCCCAGACAGGGAATGAAGAGATTCTACAGAACGGAGAGTATGAGTTAACAGGGAGCCTGTCGGGAGGCTGCAACTCTGGTTCAGAAGAAGTGAACCTGATTTGTAGCCGCCCGATTAGTAGTACTTCTAGCTAGTCATAAACACCACATAGGCACACCACGTGTGCACCCGACACTTCGTTCCACCACCTCATCCTTGGTTGGGTGGCTCTCCCGGATTACTGTCCGTCAGTCTCCCTTATGGTC